GTGTCTTCTTCACGTGTTGAAATTAATTTGCGGATCAGGGATCATCTCTCCACCTCCGAGCTGAAGTTCGCCTCCTACTTATGAGCCTGTTAGGAGCGCCCGCGAACGCTCCGTATATGAAATTTATTCAAAGCATTCGGATTGAATCATAGAGAAGATAGCCGGAGATGAGCTACGAAGAGAACGCCGACAAAACGGACCGGCAAAGAGTTAGGCCGTGCACAGAAAAGATGCAGCGACCGGGACCGCAAGCTTTTATTCGAGAATATATATATATATATATGTAGCAAAATGTATGAATTAGTTCAGCCAGTGGCAACCTACATGATAAGACCAATTATGAATTCTGTTGAGAATTTCACATGGCATGATTTAAGCCAATCGTGATGCAGAGCTGAAGCATCCTAGAAACCGATGCTAAATGCGCTGGTAGAGTTTTCTACTGGACAGCACAGCATCTCGAATTCTGCGGCATCGATGCCACCTGCCAGTGGTGAGCTCTTGCAAGGGATTGGACGCGGCGAAACAAGCACGGCAGGGCACGTAGCTCTCTAAGTTGGCGAGGTGTGCATGTTGCTCCTGTGCAATGTTCGCTCATGAGAAGCGCAGGACAGCACTGGCATAGCTTCAAGGCCGCTCCTCTTTCTCGCGCTGAGCAGTCTCCTCGTTCTGTCGGTGAAAAGCCTGTCAGAACGGAAGGTCTCTGGTCCCGGGTCTTTTGACGTATGATTAACTAAGCAAAAACGAAAGACATGAGGACTTCCAGCAGCTTTGCGTCGAAACGGGCCTTCCCCCGGCCGTTTTCTGCCCAATTGACTGCGGAATGACGGAAGACGATGAAAATGATGAAAACATGTGACAACATGCTAATCAAGGTGACAATGAATAACAGATTTAGCCTGGTCTCCACATATTCGACGATCACAAGGACTCCTGCCTGGCCTTGCCCGCAGCCCTGTTCCACCAAGGACGTCAACATGATGGAAAACGATGACAAAACGATGGAAGTTGTTGACTATATTTTAATGAACACGATATCAAAGCCTAGAATGAAATGGAAAGAATCCGGTAATACCAATGAACACGACACGGTAAACGATGAAAAACACCGTCTCTCCATCAAGGAACCTCACAATGCTATGTGGAACCATGCGAAGGCAAGGCTTGCATAGCTGTTACAGGAATCGGTGCCTCGCGATGCTCAGCCGACGAAAGGGCTTCCTGCCAACATCTGCCAACTTAGATCTTGAAACGGGCATGTGCAAACCACACACTTAAAACCTCGCCCGTCCCTGATCTGGCTTGTTTCGATTTTGCTTTCGGATCCATGATAACAGTGCAAATCAACAGCCCTGGCTAGGCCTGCAACATCTTGCAAACATGCAAACACTTGGTTCAGCGAAAAGTATGGCTTCCAAAACGGTCTTGGCGTGCCAAAGGTTAACACACATTTTATGACTGCGCTTGTTTTTACCTCCCGCATGGGGGAACTGGCAATCCTTAACGGCGGATAATGGCGGGCTTCTATCTTCCACATCGAGATAAAAGGGCAAGCTGTGCTAGCTCGTGGGTCGTCACATTTGGGAGAACAATTAAAAGCAGACACAGGCTTTGAGAAAGCCAGCTACTCGGGAGCATGGTGTTTCCAAAGCCGGAAGCTGCTCATTGTTCCTGTCGACCGGAGTTAATGTAATGAAACCTTAGGCTGAGATCGACCGCTGAGGGGTGCATGCGGTGGCCGGACACATGCTCCTTGCCGGATGTTGCAACACCCTGAACCCAATCGTAGAAGCTTCAAGCCACATCGCGATCGAACGTCTGCCAGCTGGAACGATTCCGATTCCAGACAGCCCCGTCGGGTTCAAGTGTGTACAGGCGGTGGCCAGTGCACAAGCTCCGCAGTTAAAAATATGCCAAAGTAGAACCGGGAGACGCGAGACAATTGCACGACGACTTCCGTGGCATGCTGGGACGTGTGGGTGGCCTGGGATATCCCTCGAAGGCGTTGCGTAGTGAGCAAAAGTTGGAAAAACGGAACAGGGGATAAATTTTGAACCAACATGCCCCGTATGTAGTGGCCCACGGGCAAAACGGACGCCTCGACATTTCTTCGGACAATGAGCAGCCACCGGTTCTATGTACATGCAGAATGTCGGCCGAAGACGGTAGAAGAGCTCCACACAAGCAGCTTCAATGCATGTGTCGTCATGTCACAGTCTTTTAACTCTTGGCAAGTCCTGCAGCTGCTTCATTTCCAGCTGGTATCTAGGATGCAACACGGCAAAACATTTCTCCACTAGAGGTGCGTTATGATTAAGCTCCACACTGCTGAGAAGCTTCATGTTGCTGCCGGCAGGCTGCAGAGGTTTGTGCTTCCTCCGGATCTTCGGCAAAAGCTCGTGCCACGGAATATGTTACACATATCAACGCATTCTCAGATTCTTAAGACCTCCAGCACTTGAAGCAGTCTCTAGCATACAAACTTGTGCTTTCCGACGCCAGCCTCCTGCCGAATCGAGAGCCTCAGTCAGGTCAAGGGGGCGAGCCAAAATTCACTGCAAAGCTGGGCCGCTAGGCCCCTTGCAACTGTTCCTCCAACTCCATGCCTCAATCTCTCCCACTAGAAAAGTGATGGCAAGGAGATGCAATGATCAGAAAGGGGTCCAAACAAGTCATGGCCGACTTTGCTGCAGAAGCTTGTGCCTGCACGACGTGCATGCTCTGAATCCGCTGAACCTACGGAAGGCTCGGTGAGCCTGCTTCAACTCTTCTTCCAATGTGCTGTTGCAGTCTTTGTACCGCTGCGCTGCGGTAGCCTGCATGCGAGATCATCATGGTACCGACAAAGCGAGGTGAGCGCCGAGTGCCAAGTCCTCCTCGTTCAATTCGGTCTGGAGTTCGCGGAGCTGCGTCTCCAGCTGAGAATGTGATGCCGAAGCCTGTTACGGGATAAAGATGTGGATCTATTCAGGCATTGCAGAAAACAGGCTGCTTGAAATTGCCCGCCTGCTCCAGCTTCGATCTTAAGACGGCAGATTGCCGCTCGCAGCTTGCTCGAAGCTGCGCTTCACCCTGAACGGACCAACGTCATATCTCTGGGAACCACTGTCCCGGCTTGATGGTGCGAACATGAAATGAAAGCGGTTGGGCGTACCGGGCGTTTGGGCGGAGAAGCCCTTCCAATGTGTGCTGGAGCTGGCTTCAAGCGCTATCGACAAGAAGGGGCCAGGATGACGCTGGATACACAGCACCATGTATCGTCACCATGTATCACCGGCTGCTGCAGATGCGGTTGGTGTCGCCAAGATCCATTCACTGGCAAATTTTGATAGCGATCTCACAATCGTTGTGATCAACCAATGCCTTCTGTGTGGCTAATACCCGCGATACTCATGCGGGGATGCCTTGTAGGACAGATTTATTGTGCATGTGGATTTCTGTCGAATGTCGGTTAATTTGAATTTAGAGTTTTGCGCCAGATCACCTTCAGACCCCATGTACGAATCTGATCTTCAAATCCTACGAAACGAAACAAAGAATGAGATGTATCGTCTGTGTACCTTGCATGGCACCATGGTGAACATTTGCCGGGAAAGCATTTCCGCCAAATGCGATGCCTTCATAAAGCTAAGTCTTCGAAACTGTGTCTGGGCATGGCCAGGTTCGAAACCTTTGTTTGGCTAGCGGGGAACCGTGATTCAAACCACACGGCTCGCACTTAGCGGCATAGAGACAACACCTTCACATAAAATGCACGCCGGCCAAGCCCAAATGTTGTGCTTATGGTATGATGTAAAGCATCTCGCGTGTCATACATGTTTGCCATTATTTGCATCATCGCTATCGGGAAAAGTTGACTGTCGCAGTGTACGCTGCCCAGTTGGTTATGCTCTCTGCAAGGCCCCAAGCAACGACGATAATCCATTTTTGCTGTGGGAACCGCTGCGCGGCACGATTGCCTCGAGGGTCAGTGCAAGAGTGTGCTTACACAGATCTGCTTTACTGCCTTGAATACGCTGCTAGTACAAGTAACCTGACCGGGGTGAAGAACACAAGCACGTGCTGCTTACGCTACATGCGAGCTGCTGCATCTATCAACCACTGTTAACCGAAACGAATACTTAGATTCAGCATGCGCTTGCAAAACAACTCTGCAGTTCGACGCTATGAAACAGAACTTGTCAACAGCCTACGAACTTATCCTGCAAAGAATGCTGGATGGCTTCGGCTGCGAAAAGCTCAGTACGAGCAAGCAGAGATAGGCTCGACATTAGGGATCTCTTGGCTGCTTTGATTGGCAAACAAGTGAGCTGGATGCGTTTGGGATCCTTTCAGAGCGACAGCAATGTTCCGTACTCATCTCGAATTTGAGCCAAGCCTGCGCAGAGGTCCTCAGCTGTGCAGCCTCTGCGGACCAGGCTTGCAACCGGGCCTAGCATCCATCTTCACCCACGTGCTCGAGCAAGAGGTCCCGTGTCTGGCATGCAAAGGTCGTGCCTCTGCCGCCATCAGCTCCTTCTCCCATTGTGCTTAAGGGAATGATGCGAAGGCAAGCCAGCTCATGAACTCCTCATCGCGATTCTGGACTGTTGCCAGATTGGCGGAGAGCTGTTCCTGTCCCATGGCGAGTGATTCCACTCGAAGTTTGCCGTCAACATGGTCCAGCCTGTAGGCGACCGAGATCAGCATCCCGTGCCACCTGTCGCAGGAATTTGGACACGTCATGTGGACAACAAGCGATAAGTTTGGCTCGCCTGCATCTGTCGGAGCTTGGCCTTCATTGCTTCCTGAAGAACGCGCGTCCGAGAGCTACCTTTCGTTGAAACAGTGTGCGGTTGGACCCTTGTGGGACAATGCAACCCTTGTAGTAGCCAACCCAAACAGGAAGTCTTGGCACGACCACATCCTCAAGAATCTGAATAACCAACAGCCTTCATAGCCTCCGAGATGCGTTAATGACACCCAGCGTCCGAAGCAATAGAAGCCGACGACAGTCTATACTTCTAGAGAGGCCGTCCTCCAACGGTCCTCTGCTGGGCGCCATGGCCGAAAACACGCGGCGTGAGTAGGATGGCAGTTTCTGGGTCGTTTGTCATTCAGTTGAGCAACCTTTCAATCTTAGCCGATTGCCGACATGTCGCAAGCTATGTTGGGCTCCATCGCGGATCACAGCGCCTGTGTTGCGAGCCATTTCATGTGGAGTGAGCTGATTGAGCTTCGGTGAGTCTACGGCACTTGTCACTTCCTATGTCAGCCAGCAGCTCGACAACACAGCAGCATTGGGATGGCATGCGTGTGCAACTAGCTTGACTTCCACAGATGGGACGCATTTTCGCTCATCAAGCAGCTAGCCCAAGAAGAGCGGAGGTGTCCTTCGGCAGCCTTAGGGAGACTCGAATTCAGAGACAACGACAGCCCAGCACCTGTAACGAAAGGAAGCGGCGGAGGAAGCGGATGTGGGCGCAGCTGACCTTGCCAGTCTTGTGATGTTTTGTGCATTGCGCAGAAATGGCCGCCGATGAAGCTGCGTCCAAAATCTGAGCATCGCTTCGGGCGATGATTGATATCAGATCCCGACATGAAAGCAGCTCAGAGAATTCGAGGCCCCAGCCACCCATCCCCATGATTGTTGGCATTCTTGTAGACGCGACAATGATTTCAACATCCAGAAAAGATGTCGATTGCAGGGATGCCATCCCCAAACCACCCTCTTTCCATGTGTTGCTGTGACGGTTGGTGTGGGCATGACATCAAGATCAACAAACAAGCCATTTCATCATTCCCACCCGCCCGCCACGTAGCGGTTGTTTTTAGTATTTTTTAATGCTGGTTGGTGAAGCATCTCGTGCAGCGTCTTCTCCGGAAGGTTGAGTTTTACTTTCCCTTCCAAAGTTCCTTCTTCAGCTGCCGTGCGCAACATTGCTTCGCTTCATCCACGATTGGGATGGGTGGGTGGGAAAGAAGACCTATCATCATACCTTTCGTTCGGGCCTTTTGTGCCCAAGCTTCGGTTTAAACCACCACCTCCCAAACGTCTGCATGTCCGGCACAACATTCTGCGCAGGCTTACTCGGGTCGTTACGCGACAAGCCGTCTCATCATTCCAACCCGCCCTCCAAGTAGCGGTTGTTTTTCATGCTAGTTGGTGAAGCATCTGTACAGCGTCGTCTCCGGAAGGTTGAGTTCACTTTCCCTTCCGAAGTTCCTTCTTCAGCTGCCGTGCGCAACATTGCCTCAAGCTGCCGTCCTGCTGCATAGTTCACGTCTTCAGCTTGAATGCCTTGAGGTAGGGCACTCACACGGCGAAGTCCACATAGGGAGTTAGCCCTTCACCCCACAGCTGACAGCTGCTCCACTGTGGGTTCCTACTCGGCCGTCGGCTGGCCACCCATCAACTTCACGTAACCCTGGTGATTCCTCGTAATATCCTTCGTGTTGTCCAAAGTGAACTGGAGTCGTCCCCTTGGTCCAGGATACCATTCATTTTAGCTTCTTTCCCCCGAGGTCACAGGAGGTGTTGTCCCCGAGGTCGCGTTTGCCGCAGGCAAAGATGTAAAAGAAACCGGCCCCACAGCTGCAACTTGCCCGCAGCAACCCAAGCTTTCCTCCCGCCTTGTACTCCCGTCACAGCTGCGTAGCCTGCATCACGGTCAGGGACTCCTTTTGGGTCTCCAGGGCTGCTTCGACAACCCCAGGAGCAAGTGTTGCTAGCAGCTTGTAGTCGTCCGTCGGGTTGACGACTCGGGCCACAAAGGCCGCCCAAACCGCAGGTTCCACATTGTACCGCCCCACCAGGTTTGGCAAAGTGGTAAGGGCCGCTGCTTCCGCAGCTGAAGGAAACATGCAGGTGCAGCACGAGAAAAACCATCATCATACCTTTCATTCGGGCACCTTGTGTCCAAGCTGCGGCTTAAACCACCACATCCCAAACATCTGCATTTCCTGCACAACACTCAGCGCGGGCTTACTCGTGCTGTTACGCAACAACATCAATTGCGAGGATTTCACCCTCAAGCCGCCCAGTCTCTGTGACTTGCCGCAATTTGGATATTCTGTGGCAAAGTCGGGGTCCAACATTAGCGTGGTGGGCGGGAACGGCAGACACTTGCAGTCGTTCTTACTTTCATCGCTTCCAAAAGTTCAGCGGATCAACTGTTTTGCGACATCAGCTCACCCGTCAGAAGAAACGGCAGTATGAGCTCTGTGGGTCACACTTTGAGCTTTCGCTGGAAACCGGGAGGCCCATCCCTTCGTAGCGAAGTTCTGGTCCAACCTCGGATGTCACTCCGGGAAGTGCCGGACTTTGGATCCTCCGAGTGCGTGGCAGCTGCCCACGAATGCGCTTGGGAAAGTCTGGCTGCAGCCTTGAGAAGCACACTTCAGCTGAAGGTCCAGATGGTGCAAACCTATCATTTCAAGACTGTGCGGCCCTTTGCCCACAACGACGTGTTATGCTTCAGATGTTTCGATCGATGCAAAGCGACGGTTTGGGCTTGGAACGTCTGCCGCAAAATCTTCACTTTAAGCGCCAGTCCAAACAGCATCTCCGTCTTTCCTGTAGCACTGTCGGAGTGAGACGTGATTCTTTCACCCCCAACCGTCAGCGAAGGCCTTCCATTTTTTGCTTGCAGAATGCCCGCAACACCTCAAGATCTTCTGACAGTTGCCACTTCCAATGCTACCAGTGGAAGTAAGCGCCGCACGCAAATAGCAAACAAGGTATGCTACCTGATTTCCGCCGTTTGCTACGTGTACGCCAGCATCGGTGCCGAATGGATGGAAGGCAGGATCTGCGGGCACCAGGGAATAGCGCTGCCACCTGAGGAGAGTCGATTCGCAGCTTCCAAGTGCTGCGCCAGAACATAACATGCCGACTTACTGAGTGAAGCGCAAAGACACTGCCTCAGCTCGAAGATCAGCCGGCGTCGCCTTGAAGGGATCGAATGCCTCCGAACATGCAAGTTGTATGAGTGTTCACTGTTACGAAGTGCGTCCTCGGCATGCAGTCCCAGCGAAACACTTGCATTCTGCAAAGCGTTGATGAAGAAGCGCTGGTTACGCTGGCACGAACCTGATCCAGCATGATCAAACCGCTGGCAACATATCACTGTCGACACAGTTTCCCAGCGTATAGATTGTGAGTGCCAGACGGATCAAGGATTCAGGCGGAGGGCGATTGGAGTTGTAGTGACATGCGTACTGGCAGCAGGCAGCGGGCGCTTCGTCTCAAGTCTCAAGGGTTATCCGGGTTCGGGAGGCCTTTGCCAAGCTCTTCGGCTGGAGAACGATGGTTTCCACCAGCGTGGAGGGCCTTCCACCCCAAGCGTCAACATCCAATCGAGTGCTGGGTTCAAGAAGAGGCGTCGGCAGTTCCACCAAGTCCAGAGGCATGTCCTGCTGTCTAACGAAGAATGAAGGTCCAAAGAAAACAACTCATCGAGACAGAAATCATCCAAGAATCTGGCCTGAAAATCACACGGAGATCCCGCGTGGCAGAGCATATGTATTGCCTGCTGCAATGCTTCAGCTCTGCGCTTGCGTTCTGAGAATTGGGCTTCCGGCATGACCGAGTTCGTGGGCAACCATGACAGCTTCCTCCACGTTCATCAGCTTGCTCCCTTAGATGCTCGAACTCTGCAACAAGGACTTTGGCAATCTTACAGCGTGCAAATGCGTGCAAGCCACGGCCCAAAGGCGGCCTGGACAGTTTGAAGCCTCGGCTTAAGCCACAGTCATGTCGAGTCACTGCCTTGCAGACGGCCTAGACGGCCATCACATCCCTTGTGACTTGCAGCATGCCACACACACACACACAGTCAGGTACAGCAACAGACCAGAGCTATAGATAGCTGCATAACGCATGCAACGTCGTTGGCACCTCGTCCGCATGGAACCTGTATGGTTTGCAGTTGCTCTGAGACCACCACTCACGTATGCGTGACCAGGACAAAGGCTTATCGCCCCAGCCAGCTCCACAGCTTCTCGGCCCAGCATGGACCTCCTACAAATCGTTGTGCTCGACGGCTTTGCACAACACTCGTCTGACGGCTCGTCCTTGAATAGAGGTCCATGTACACATAGCCCAGCATCCCCTTGCCGGGATCACGTTTAACCTCAAGCACGGCCAGACTGCATCAGATGAAACGAAATCGCAGTCTTCCATGGGGACTCAAGCCCCGACTCCAGCAGGACGCGGTGCCCCATCGACGACCTGAAAACATTGTCGATGAGACGTGGCAGCAGTCTTGCTTCTTCAGGCCTCAAAAATCTTCACCGAGGTGTGCCAGCCACCGGGAAGTCTTGAGAAGAACCCAGAAGCAGTGGCCTGGCAGGGCCCAAATGAGTAAGGTTCCTGTGGTAGCGTTACATGGGCCTCCCGGAAAGTGACACCATAGACTTTGCCAACGACGTCGAGAAGGCCAGGCCTTCGTTCTCCCGCTTGATGACCGCACTACATGGGCATGTGTCACTGCTTGAAAAGGTCTGGCTCAGCGAAAGCTTCAATTTCCCGGTCTATCAAATCGGGAACCTTTCTGAAACTTCAGGGCTCTGACTCTGAGCCCACAAAATCCGCGCAGACGAGTACTCTCAGGTACGTGCAGGCTTTTCTCCAGCGATAGGTACTCCGCAAACCTCAGCTGCAGTGAATGCAAAGCTTGATACAACAAACTCAATCGTCAACATCGCTTCACCTGACAGGTGATGAGGTCTGAGCTTCCAGATATCAGATTGTCGTGACAGGTGTGCATGCCAAAAGGCCTACGACAGGGCCATGGCGGGTTCTGCTATACACCAGACTTGTTGACTAGATTCTATGTTTGAGGCTCTCGTTCTGCAGCAGGGGCTCTTTGGACTGTGCGGCCGCGTTTAGCATGATCCTTTGCTACTGGATGCTGCTCTTCCGTGTGCACCTGTCGGATGATCCCCGGAAGAACTCACACGTGGCCTCATCAACCTGGCTGACTTTGCGGCCTCGTTGGGCGGAACCTGGTCAAGAACCTATACCTCTCGTTGTCTCAACTTGAGGCGGCTTGCCTGATGCGTCTCTTGAGCTCCACTCTTCTATTCGCTTGTGCACCTTTGTGCGGCTGGCGGAAAACCACTTCGCACTGTTTCTGATAGAGGCTCTGACGGGAGCAAGAGACGCCTGAGCATCCTTCCAGCCTGCAGTAGGCAGACGCTGCCCCCGTGACCCGAGCGCTCACCACGCTCGAGGCAAAAGACCCGAGCTCCCGTCAGAGGTCCAGGAAACGACGCGCTCCTGCCTTGGACACGGCGTCGGCTTTTCGCTACTGGACCAGTTTTTTGAAAGCTGCCTCATCGCCCAGAGCCAGAGGTGCCATCTCCAGGTCAGCCCAACTCCTGCAGGCTGGGGCCAGCGAAGGAATTCTGCGAATTGCCGTGTGCAAGGCCTGAAGCCGAGCTTCTGAGCAATCTGCCGGCGTGTTCCTGATGCGCAGTGTAGCCGAGACGACATCTCTCAAAACTCGTAGAGGCTTTTGTAAGACTTTGCCAAGCCCGCTCAGAAGCTCAAGGGCCGCCTCGCGGGAGACAGAAGCAGGTGTGCACCAGTCGCACTGAGTCGCACTCGACCGAACCTCGTCCACGGAGGTGTCGAAACCCCCATAGTACGCCTGCAGCTTCACTCGTACTTTGAACGGGCCGATAGTGAATTCAGCGAAAATGCAGCCGCAAGTCCTCGAACATGCGTTGACGCGTCGAGGCGTTTTGGCAATAATCCGAAATCTTGTGCATGTCCGGCCAGCCTGGGAGATGGCCATCTGCAGAGAAAGGACTATCCGGTTGAAGTGCATCATCGTGTACACACATCATGTCCCGGTCTCTCACAGCGCTTCCTTCCTGAATTGGACATGTTCGCTTGTGATGCGGCACAGGCATCGACATGAAGCCTCTTTTCAGCATGGGCGAGGCTAGATGGCTCGGCTTTTCGGACAGCCAATACAGATTTTGCAAGCTACCCAGGAGTCCTCCCCCGTGCCACACTGCAGTGACTGTACAGGTTAAATCTTGCATCTGGCCAATGTAGCATGTCCTCTGCTTGAGGTCAATGGGCCTTCGTGCTATCGGCGACGGGGTTTGCATCGCCAGTTGCACTTGCACCCTCGTGCAGCGCTTGCTGTAGCTTCGCAAGCCTGTCGTCACACTCTTTGGGCAAGGAGCAAGGACCGTCCAAGCAACATCAAATGTAAATTCACGCGGCTTGGTTGCCTCATCTTGTTCCTTTTGCCAAGGACTCGCAGCGTGTCTGTCTGCTCGTGCTCTGTCATCTCGTGCCAATTGTTGATGCCTCTGGCTACTTATGCATTGGTTCGGAAATTCGACTGAGTTGATGGGCGTCTGGCGGGCGATGCTGCCATCCGTGTTTATGACCAGCGGGCCAAGTCTGTCCATCTTCACCTTTGCGATTTGCGACTGCACTGATATCTGCGAGCCTGTGCATGCCATTGCAGGACAAGGTGCCGGGTTACCATCAACTACAATTGTCTGTACATCTTCGCCGTCGTCCAATCGTGCTCCATCCTGACGCCAACTGCAGACACACGGTGCGCAAAAGTTAAAGGGCCCGGAATTGGTTTGAGATTTTGTCGGCTTCGGGGTTTCTTTCAGCAAACTGTTGGGAAACCGCAAATTCTGCGGCTCTGTGTTTTGGCAATTTACTAGGCGATTGGACTTTGCACGGTCATGCTCTGCAGCAAGCTGCTGGAAAAATCCAGTATATTGGGTCCTGTTTTGCGGCAGACGATTCAGCATAAAGCAAGCTTGCACGGTTCAAGACAGTTGTGCCTACATTACTCACTTTGAAGCATGTGCTTGATGCAGTTCATTTTGTTGCACGATGTTCCTGAAAGCAAGCTTGCGCGGCTCAAGAAAGCTGCGGGTATTGCAATGGTGCAGCCCTTCAATTTGTCCATACATATTTCTTTTGTTTGATGCAGCCGGCACGAAGTTCTTGAACGCAAGTTTTGCAGCTACAGCAACTGCTACGTCACTGCACGACAACAACTACTCCTGCTGCTGCTGCTACTACTACTACTACTACTACTACTGCTACCACTACCACTACTACTACTACTACTACTACTACTACTACTTCTACTACTAGTACTAGTACTAGTACTACTACTACCACCACTACTACTGCTACTTCTGCTTCCGTGTGTCTTTCTGTCTTCTTTCCCTTCTTTCTGTCCTTTCTTTTTCTTCGTTGTATTTCTGTCCTGCTTTCTTTCTTGCTCTCTTTCTTTCTGTTGGACTCCCGCCCCTGGGCTCGCGTCCCGCGGGGCTCTCAGCTAAAATGAGGTTATGTAAATCCCCATGCAGCTGTTAACAAAGGAATCGCAACAAAATGGCACCCATTGTGTCTTTTAACACCGGAACCATAGGTCTTTGTCCCCCACGCCCCATTGGTTAGGGAGTTGTACTGGTCAAATTGCGGGTGTCACCTGGTGTGGGCACACCATAACCTGTGAAAGATCCACCTCGGCCAGCTAATGAGCATGTGTGGTGACCCCATTGTCCTGGAGTTTGTATATAGCAGTATATATGATACATATCTATTGTCCCTTTGACAGGCCAGGAAGCTAGGCAGTCACGAGACCGAAAAGCCAAGAAGAAGAAGAAGTCCGGATGCTACGAAGAAAGAAACCAGAAACGCCACGAGAGGCCACAAAGTGAACGAGCACAAATAGGCGGGAGGACCCAAGAAGCCAGGAAGCCAAAACCCGCGAACCGAGCAAAAACAGCTCAAACAAAAGACCGCCAAAACAAATGCATCTCCAAAGGACCAATGGATTAGCTGCAAGCAAGGCGCCTTGGGAGCCTGAGTGCCCGTGAGACGGTGCACTGCCGTGCAACCATGATTAAGACTGTGACTGACTGTACGATGGAGGCTGCGCATGATGACATCATGGTGCCCCGTCCGTGGCCTCCAATGCCAGGGTCGGCTGCTCCTGAAGCTTTGGGCACAGGAGATCACGTGCTCCTCTTTCGTCACACTCCCCGGAAACTCGCACATTGACTGCTCCGGCAACACATCTCATCATGCACAGGATTTGAGGGAACCCTCACTGAAAACGTATCTTTTGCTCTACACCCCGTTCGAGCAAATGACAGGAAACCTGGCTGGCGATCCTTGAAATCAAAAACCGATCCGGACGAGACTTCCATGGTCGCTTCGGGGCAGTCTTATTGTGTTGACCGCTACAATGTTGCTCGACACACGCTGGACTTTAGGCGCTCTTTTTTCCCGGTTCTGAGAAACTCAGAAGACTCTAGCACCAGATGACGGGAAGATACAATGTCCTGCTCATGTTGTGGTTCTGGCTCCTGTCATTGTCTACTCGGTTTGGTCGGGAAGTTGAAGCTTCTTCGACACCTATGTTTCCCATGGGCTGCAACAGCTTCGAGCCGGGAAGCCGCGGAGCCTTTGCAAAGACGCTTCCTGGTGTGCTTCTTGGTTTCTCAGCACCGAGCTAACAGGAACTTTGTATTTGGCTCGGCGCCAAACCTGAGGCGAAGACGGTTTGCTGCACGGACAAGTCTCTGGCAGCATCGGCTGCATCAGCTCGCCATAGTACCACAAAGGAGAGGACTGCAGCAGAGCCAAGATCACTAGCATATACCTCGGCGACTCTTCCAGATGATAACTGATGTCGTGTGGCACACGGACCCGAGACCGGATCTTTGTCCTGTGGATAATAAGCTGATACAACCAGTCCTCTTGCTTAGTGTGAGGCAGACTTCATCATGTCCGCCAGGCCACGAAGGTCCTGATCTCGGCATGTGCAGAGAGCCCTGACAGAAAGAACACTTCCACCTCACCCGTGCAGTATGCACCTCATCGTTCATATGCAAGAACCCTTGTTTTTGTCCAGCCAAGCCTGCTTCCGGACTTTGCTCTGACCACGCAACCCCCTAACAGCAAAGAGATCTGCCTTGCTGCAGGCAGTCGTGCAGATTCTGCTGCTGCTTCTCTGCCAGCGTCTGGCCAGCAATCACATCTGGAGACCAGTCGACGACCTTGTGAATTCAAGTTCGCTTGAGTTCCCGACAACGAGCTCGGACGTCGAGTCCTGCACTTTCTTCGACGCTTTGCAGTTCTGCAGTCGCAAAGCTCTAGACGAGCTATGCTTCTTCCAGTTGGAGTGCTTCCTGTGTTCGGCTTTTGCTCCCCTCGCAGAGCAGGAGCTACTGCTGCAAGAGCATGGCAAGTATGCAAGTCGTGTGAAGCAATCCGAATCATCGGATCTTCAACCACGAATGCGAGTGTGTGACATGGTCCATGGTACGATTGTGGGGCAAATGGCTCTCACCAAGCCGCGGAATGTCTGCTTTGTTGCGTCCAACAGTTCGTAGGAAAACTTAAATGGAAGTCTGCTCTGTTCACTAGCATCCACAGAGAAACGTGATCGGGAGCTCTCCAGCTCCACGGTGGCTTGGCCCCACTTAAACTGGCCGAAGCCATTTCTGGCTCACTTTCAAGCTTGAGCGGCCCAGCTGGGGCTGCTGTTTAGGGTGAAATGTGCCTTGTTCGGGCTCTTTGTTGCGCTTTCGGTGGGCATCTTTTCGCACATCTTCGTCAAGGTTGTAGTGAGTCTTGCACGGGTTGCACATGCTTTGTATTGGTCCGCACTGCATGGACACTTAATCTCATGCACGAGCGTACCTCCCCCACAGCAGTGGGAACTGTTGCGATGCAGTGCATGGAGCTGTTTATACAACGCGCAAGGGCTGAGGCGGATCGCGAAAGCTTGTAGGGCAGTCGATCCTATGCAGGGCTACCGTGACAGGATGAGGGCTTCATCTGCACGCACGACGCAGCTTGGGACGTACCTGAACACGAAGACTTAGCAGCTGAGCAATGGCAAGATACATTCGAGGTAAATGGTGCTGTCTACATAGGCACAGAACTCTTGCTTATGGCCACACACTTGTCGAAGAAGGTTCTTTGGCATCATGTTCTTCGACTCCCAGACGACTGTATAGGTGGTAACTGGGCCTTAGGCTGCCGCAACCTGAAAGCCTCGTTGCAGGCTTGCCGAGTTACTCGCTCAGGAACTTGCCACTCGCTGTATCATCACACAAGACTAGCATGTGGGCAAGACGTCATCATGCACCATACCGTACCGCACCTCGACAGAGGCACGTAACAGAGCAGCAGCGGGGATGCCCCGCACCTCCTGAGTCAAACTCCGATGAGTGACGCGATCACGCGACATAAAACAAATGCATTTGAAATCAGTCTAATCTGGGCTAGTATATCAGGACCAGGTACTTCCTCCAGAAGCTTGCGGGGCATCGGCCACTGCCCATCGTTACAGAGGCATTCGCAGATCGACTGCCGTGTGTTAAGGTCTGAGTCTAAGCTCGGTGCTGCAGGATTGAGGAGCCCCGACTGGACTCCTCTAGTCACTGCCTGAGCAAGACGACTCCGGTTGCCAAACTTCTGTTGCCTTACATTCTGGGCTGCTGACCGTTTCATACCAGCTGTCGGCAAGCTTGGTCAGATGTCCTTACCAAGGAAGGCTTGTGATTGGAGCCAGCACCATCACGGCAAAGGCTAGTGTGGAAGTTGAGTGCAGGTCTTTGTACCAGTGCAGGTCTGAGTGCACCCACGTGTTGCAACACCTTCCAAGCTTGCATGTGGAATTCAGCCATTTATCTATGCAAGGCGCAGGCCTGTCCGAAGCGGTTCAGCTCGGACCAGTGTGCAAGGCTGGTTGCCACTTCGGTCGGGCAGCCTGTGGCAAAAGCCTTCTCGGCGTGACTTCGTGCTCGTCTACATGCAAGCAGCCAAAGTGGCGCAGATGAAACATCGCGAAGGCAAAGTTCTTGCGCCCCTCTGGCTGAAATCACCTCCTCAAAAGCGTTCTTGCCCGACAAGGCTTGTCGCAATGTGCTGGCAGCATTCAGCGCCGTGTTGATGATGGGAGCTCGTATCATGGAGGGTGCGACATCTTGGCAGCGTACATAGCAACAATGAGATGCACCGGGACGATGTTCGTGCTGTGAGAATCGACTGTTAAAGCCTTTGTAGCTGGCGAGTTTGGCTCGTTCGGCTAGCAGCGTGCAAGGAAGCCTGGCTTTGATCCGAAGGGTCAATCAAACCGCTTGGGCGCAAACGCAAGCTGCGGCTGTGACTGTGGAACCTGCAAGAACTCGACAACTTGGAACCATAATGCTTCGCCCAAAGATCCCCGTGCTTAGAGGCTGCAAATCACGACAGGTACCCTGTGTTGGCAGGGCAGCATTAGAAAAACACGCTCTCGGAGGTCTCAATTTTGTCAAGTTTTTGCACTGCGCCAGTGTTCCCTACCGTGCCAAGCAACAACCTGCGTTTCGAAGATGTAGGGCTCTGGTGGACTGGTGGGCACAGAGGAGTTTCTCAAATTCGTGGCAAGGATTCAAAGCCCAAACTGTTGAAGGCTTGGAGTCAAGCATGACTGCAGCTTTGGGCTCAAACGAGATAAATCCCAATCCCAGCCCTGAATTCCTCAGACCCAAAGCTTCAGAAAAAGGCCTCAGCAAGACACGGACAAAAGAACACATGGCAGAATGTTAAGCCGTTAAGCAATGCTTGCAGGCGGAATTGGGGAATCCTTCGGGCCTGCAGGGCATTGGCAAGTCCGTCTCAAAACGAACACGAGTCACCGTCTTCCAATGCAAGGGGGCCTTCCGAGCCTCGCCGTGAACAGCAAGCGAGCCAAGTTTCAAAGGAGCTGGAGTCAGATCAGATGGAGCGCTCATGGGGGCAATGGAGGTGGAGCCTGACGAGCAACACGCCAGAGCTGATACTGGAAGTTAACTCTGAGCCGAACAGGCTTCTTTGCAGGTCTCGTGCTCCAACCAGAACCCGAGAATCTACAAGAGGTGCATGCAACTCTTTCACGGGCAGAAATGGCCGTCGGCTTTGTGAAAGCTATCGAGTAGCAAAACATCAGCCGTGGTGCGTATTGCACGCACTCAGTGCACTCTCCTGGCACGGGTACCAGGGAGTTCTGCCTATCCACAGCAGCATGCTGACGGAAGCGCCAACAGGCCTCGGGGTTTCCATTTCTGTCATATGAATTTGGACCGTCGAGCCCTTGCGCTCCACTTTCGTGACCTGGGCTGCTACATGAAAGCAAACCGCAAATCTGCTGTGAGCATTTTAATCTCCGAACACCAGAAGTGCACACCCAGGCGCCTTAAATTGGGTACCGGGCGCAAGTATGTACCTCAGCCAAGGCCATCAAGACTTGTCACAATCTTCATCTGCCCTTTATTAGAGATGAAGCCGCCCACCTAATTTGCACTACAACTCCTGTGCAACTGGCTCGACATTCAAGATCTCAACGCAACTCCGAGACGGAAGGGGGCGGGAACCAAGGGGACACGGAGTCAACAGCGTTCAAAACCCAGAGGTGAGATGTCCGTGTGGCGTAGACCCAGGTATTTCTCTCTGGAGTCGGAGTGGAAGAGAGACAGGAACTGTCAAGACATCATGTCGGCTTCAGCCCGAATTTGTTTCTCGACAGAGAACTAACCCACTGCCTGCTGTAAGCCTGTATTTAGGCTCTGCCGGAGGATTCATGGCCTCCGTCCAAGCGGCTCTTCTTCGCTCTGGTATTGGGAGAAGTCCCGGATGCCAACGCTTCGCGAAGCCGTGATCAGAAACAACGTCGACTTCTTGGCGCCGCTGAAGCTACTCGCCACACCCAAGTCAGGCGTGCAGCTGGACCTGAGCTGCGAAGGAAAGCCCTTTGCAGCAGCTGGAGATAGCTGAAGCCTGAGAGTCTGAGAATTCCACACTGCCCACCAGGTCACTGCTGTGCCAACCTGGTACTGGTCCGCAAGGTCCAGGGCAACCTGGCTTAAATGGAAGGCGTAATGGAATCAGCGACGTTCTCAGTAAGTTCGCTTTTGCTACTTCCCCTCTTCTTGTGTATGCAGACCCGGTGGGCAGATCCGCTCAAGCCCGAATGAAAGAAGCCAGTCATAATATATTGAACATGCGACTTCAGGAAGAAGACGATCAGTGAACACAGCCAAGGTCCAAGGTTGTTTCTTCTTGATTCAATGCGGCAAGCCATTACGATCTTCCAAGGAACTCCTCGGTACAGCTGTCGTGTAGACTTGGGCAGCTTCTCCATCGCCGCGATGAACAGCCTGCCGTTTGCTGGACGATCTCTGCTGCAGAAACCTGCCCCCGAGAGGTCCTGAGATAGAGGAAATACTGTTTGGTCTCCTTCCGCTCAGGATCGCGCCTTGGGCGGAGCATGGGTGAGAGTCACTTGGCTATGCGCCGAATGCAGCCGTGGTTCAGGGCTGCATTTAGTGCCTGTCACATAATCAGAAACAGGCTGATGGATGTGCAGGAATCGGGCTGCGCAATCAGACGGTTTCAAATTATGCTATATGATCCCCTCAACCGCGACATTCTGCGCTTCGCTGGCTCGAGAGGTGGATCCGAGGCTGGCAGCATTGTGTATACCCTGAAGCTGCATGCACCAGCCTTGTAAAGGTGATTGGTGGTGTACAAATGCAGGGCGGCGGCTTCATCGACAGTCAGTCCTGCTCCTGGTTCCAGCATGGATCATGGATGTGACATAGCAGGCTTCGAAAACAAATGATAGCCGAGGATCTGGTCATCTTCCCCGCTTTAACCACCGACTCCTCAAAGCAACTAGGCACAGAATGGAACTTCCCTTGACGAGCGAAGTCACAGAAAGGAACACGTGCGTCGCAAAGCACAAGAACACGATCAGCAAAGTTGCCTTTCCCGCTACAACTTTGTTGAAGGGCTTGCACGTGGAAGGCAGGTCGAGCAGCGGCTGTGACGCGACTCCGAGGATGTCTTCCTGGCAGTGAGACTTGAAGAGGAAACCAATGGACCCATACAGGTCCAGCTTCAAACGTGATTTACAACACGGCACTTGAATGACAGTCTGCACAACATGGAATCACAGATTGCCCAGGCTCTGTGTCTTGAACGTCTCTCGCGAGGCTTCAGCAGGACATGTCAGTGACTGAGACCACGGATGCTTCGGGACGTTGCAGGTCCAAGTGGCGAGGTTATCTGCCCTGCTGTCCAGGCCTGGAGACTGACGAAGCGATCCATTGCACCGAGCCACACACACACACACACACAGCGTTTACCGGGTCGAATCTGAGGCCGCTTACCGTCTTTCAGGCGTTCTAGGTACATCCTGCAGAAATACGAAGAAGCCGCTGCTTCGCTTGCACACACCCCAGGGCTTCCAAGCAGTCCGAGTTTCCTGTGCAGCTCCTGAGTTTCAGCCACAAAGGCTCCCATCTCGGCAGCATGCTCATCGATCCCCAACTCAGCCTTTACTCGGCAAGAGCACGTCTTCGAGCCCTTCTTGTAGCCCCCCAGACTGTCCAAGGCCTTCCAAGTTTTGTTGGGGAGCCAGTCGATGGGCTTCCCAAGCTTCAGCTCGCCTATGGCCTGCGAAGCCGTTAGGCCGCTGAGCAGTTGCAAAGATTCCAGCCTTGGAAGGATGACCAGAAAGATAAAGATAAAGATGAGGGAAGCCTTGTTGATGTTATCGAAGATGTTCGGCGCGTCGCAGAAGGCGTCGGCCATTGCCGCTGGATTCTTGTGTTCGATGTGTCTCACCTTCACCTTGGCAGATAACATCGGGTGTTCGCGAGGCACAGGCTGTCTCGAACAGCCTGCATGCAGGATGTCCACTGATCGAACAAGCACTGAAGGACCACTGTAGGTGACGACATCATGATTCTGCTCCAGTTCTATCCTGCATCTTTCTACAATCCGCTTCAAAACTCTATGCCCATTGGTTGGTCCCGACGAGCAGCACTCGGGTACTTCGCAAACGATGACTTGTCCAGAAATCGCTTGGTCTTCAAGCTTTCCGTGCCCCACCAAGCCTCACTTCGGGTCTACATTCAAGCCGGAAACGTAAGTCACAGTGTCCGCATGTTGCCTATGTTGCCAAGCAGCAAAGATTATGGGCCGATCATTCTTCTGGCAGTCTTCCAGAATGGCATTGACTACGGCTTGCATGACTGGCTGCCAGAAAAGCAGGTGTTCCTTCACAGGGTATGAAACAGCTGAATACAAGTAATGCCTGCACAGCTCATCGTCGGCCAGCACTATTGCGGGCAGAAACTGCCTGTGCTGAGCATATCCCTGACCGATGCACTTTATTTATTTATACAGTAGGTGCAAGAGCGCCTCCACAACTTCACCGGCACGAGTGCCTTCCACGGGCTTGATCGTGCAAGCAGCATTCATCAGAAGAACGCCTTGTGCAAGCATTGCCTCAGGTTCCAAACATGATGGTGAAGACTTCACACGAAGACCTGGGCAAAATCCAAATCTAAGTATGCTGAAGCGCTTGAAACCACTCGGGGGGACCAACAATTCCTCAGTCACTTCGATGATTTCAGCTTTGCTAAGCTGCAGAAACTGGGATTAAACACGTTCTTGGTTCTGAGAAGCCGTCCCTCCTTGGCCAGAAGCTTTCGCAGGTCTGGCACTTTGGTGGCTTTGGCAATCTTGAACTTGGACATTGCCGCCGCTTTGATTAGACAACCTGGCCAAACTTCACTGAGAAAGATGGTGCAATGGCCCAATGGCCCCTTAAGGCCACAACAAATCTCCACTACGGTGCCAGCGTGCGTCAAAGGCACGCATCGTGACCACAGATCCGAACTTTTTCGACTCCCAGGAAGTAATTGAATTATCGAAGTGTGCAATTCCGGTTGCAGATTCTATGCGAGGGTACGGTGACTGGCCCAAGGACACCACTCGCCATCCAGACGGCAAATTCGGCTTTAGTGCTTGAAAAGTCAGTTCTCGGACTGGGATGATGCCCTTGTCCCGGCTGGGACCAATAAAGCTTGCAGCATCACTCAAACTTTCAAGGACAGGTTTCAAGATCTTCAACCAGGTACCACCATGGCCCATCCCTGCAAACACAGGCGCAAGCTGCAACGGGTCTGAAGCGTCGGATTGATCTTCAAGCTTCTGCTTCTTTGCGGGAGCCATAGCGGCGAGGTCCCCTGCACCCGCTGGGCCAGGCCGCTTCTTGGGCGCGACGCAGTCCACGGCGGTGTCTGTGCTCGCGCTCGCCGTGCTCGCGGTGGCCGTCGGTGTAGCCTTGGCCTTGGCAGAGCGCTTTGCCTCAGCTTTGGCCTTGGGACCTCGCTTGGGAGCCGCTGAAGCTTCTTCCTTTGAGGGCCTAGGCCCCTTCTTCGGTGCCGGTGCCGCCGTTGCCGTCGCCTCAATGGCCTTGCCTCGAGTATCCAGCTTTCCATCTACCACGCGGCCCCAGGTTGAAGGTGAATTGCCAGACTTGTCAGGCATAAACCAGGTGATCTTCACTCCGGCGCTGGCCTTCTTCGCCCACTCTGAGCTTTTCTTCTTGTTCTGCTCCATGGCTTGGAGATCAGGGAACTTGAGCGATCTGCAGCCGTTTTTCGCAGTCGCCACCTTGTAAGTTTTGCCACTAGCAAGCGTCACCGACGACTTGCCACCATGTAAGGCTGCATGAGCAGCCAGCGCGTCTTCTTCGGAGATTGGCATCGTATCTAAGGCACGGAGCAGGGCTTGCCTTTGGCAAGGGCTCGAGGTTGACAGCTTCAGGATCCATGCAACGTCATGCAAAGCCGAACCGAAACTCCAGCCCACGTAAACAGAAACCTCCTAAATTCAGCCCAGGTATACAGCAGACTTTCGCAGTGGTTAGTCAATGGTGTCACTTGGCCAGAACCAGCTCGGCACAGCCGCTCGCTATTTTGCCTCCGGATGTGTCTCTTCGATTTGTGCCTATGCCGGCTCGTCGAGCACCACAGTCAGCGGATATCGAGAATTGGTGGTCTGGCAGGACATGTAGCCATCATCGAAATCGAAGTTAACCACGACGCCTTGCTGCCCTTCATAGTCGGACTCGTCATCGATAATTTCAACGCGATCACCTGGATAGAAATCCTGTGAAGTCTCGACGTATTCCTCGTTGTACACCTGACGCCAACGAGTGCGTTCCTTCTCGTGAAAGGCAGCAACGTCCTCGGGATTGCGCTTCACAACGCGAACATCGTTGATCCCGAACCATTCCTTCTTCCCCGCTTGCACCGCTGTGAAAGAGGGCCGCCCGTCAGAGTACGACCACCTCCCCGAGCCGGAGCCGGAGCACAACGCGCTCCGCGTGCTCCGGCTCCGCTGAGCTAAAAAGGCTTCCCGAGAGAGGGCGTCCTCTTTCTCAGAGGCCAAGAACGTCACTGCGAGCACTGCGAGCACCGAGGCGATCAGAGGTACAGCTCTGGACCGTCTCATGCGGCTGGACAGAAGTCCACTCTCGAAGAGCCCTGTCGGCATGACGCTGGCCGGGTAGCCTTTGCACCGAGAAAATGCTCTTCGAGAAAACTCAGGTGCTGTTCTAAAGGGGTTGATGCCATACTGGGTACAAGGGTGGCTTGAGTTCTTACACTTGCTTCAAGGACCTTCTTCGTTGTGCAGCGGTGTCCTTGGTTAGCCAACCCAAAGCAGTGTGCAAAAAAAGTAGGGCCATGCTCCTACTTGACATCCATTGACTGACAGCAGCTGTTCTGACATGGCTTTCTTTCTTTCCGCAAAGACTTCTGGTGTTCAGCCTTGGGCTGCGCACCGAATCCTTCTTGAATCTCTGGTTGCTCAAGCTGTACAGTAGGTCGGCGTACCAAGCAGACCTCCTCAATCCTACTCCCGGCAATGCTCCTTGCATTAGTTGAGTAGAATAGCTCTTTCTAAGCGCGACCCAGCTTGGGGATGTCAAGATGGTAGCCGCTGGTATCCGTGGAAACCCGCAGGCCGACATCAAGTGATCAGAAGCCACTGGATGATGAGCGGCACTGGTAAGATGCCCGTGATGGCCACAGCACTTCCTGTTTTCAGGAAGAGCCTCGTCTTTGCAAGCCTTGAACGACTATCCAGAGCAAAGCCTAGCGAAGCGAGAGGCGGCAACTGTTTCTTTGAGCTGTTTTTAAAAGCAGACAGGCTCCCGGCAGAATGCGAACCATTTTCTGAATCAACCGCTTGAGAAGTTCTTTGGAGGATGCAGTTCTCCAAGCCGCAAAGGATCACTTTTTGCCGGTGGCTCGCCTCAGGGCCTCTGCCTGAGCAAGGCCATATAATGTTACAATCCGTCTGTGCCTGGCACACTTCCGAACGCACCGCTTGCGCTGTCTGCCTGGGTTGTGGCAGTATCCCAATCGATGACGTTCGTGGAGGCTGTGTCTGCACTCATCCGAAGTTTGATTGAGGCCAGCACGTGGTCCTCCTTCGCTGACAATCCTCAGCAAGGGAAGGTGCAGACACCCATGCTTAGACAGAAAGATTCAGACGACCAGAAGCTGTGAGCTCACCGGGTGCCAGTCTGCGTAGCAGCCAGCTGAAGCGACGAGAGCTTGGCCTGTCATGGCGTGTCCCCCGGGCTCGCACGGAGAGCTTGGCACTTCGGGGCCGAGTACCAAGCGATGGAGGCGACGGGTCCTCACTCTGAGCCTGTTTAGGAACAGCCGCTCAGAGATTTCAAAGGCTCTGGACATATCTGGACATGATGCTCGAGGCTCCGGCTGGCATGGGAAATGTTCCCGAGTAGCCTTTCAAAGAGTCTGGGCAAAGGCTGAACAATGCGAAGGCACACTGTCGGGAGGGGCTTCCAAAACCCTCGCGCTATGCCCACGCGCAGTTCCGGGCATGTACATCCTGGAGCTGATAGTCCTTCTGGCTTCGCGTCGGTGGCGAGTTTCGTTTGTCGAGGGTATCACCCGCCGGGGAGTCGATGCTCGAGACAGGTTTCGATTGGTTTCGGCTTGGGCCTCGTGGCCTCCTGACTGGCAAACCTGTGCTGGCGGTGCTCAGCGAATCAGCTTCGGCTAGGAGTTTTTTTCAGCCAAGTGGCTGAGCTTGGCTTCCCTGCCAAAGCTTTGAACATCTCTAGTAACTCTTTCGGGTCCGGATCTCCGCCATGCCATGCACTGCTCCATGCAAGTAGTGGGATTGGGTGCAGGACCAAACCCGGAATCCTCCACCTCCACTTGCCCTATCCGCCTGAGTCGACTGATGCCCGTGTCCTCTTAGATCATTTTAGACTTGCGCCCACGCCCACTGCCCACGGCTTCAGGGGAGCCTTCAGCAAGATCTGTGGAGATTGCCTTGCTCTCGCTTGAAGTGCAGCTTGTCGACGGTGCCTGCGCTATTTCTCGGCTACTGGAAGCTGTCAGTCGTAACGATGCCCGAGCCTCCGTCTCATCGTCAGCCTCCGCCGTGCCGACGGCAGCCAGCTTTTCCCAATCACCGGCCTCGATTCGAGCAGACCATCGCTAACGTAATCGTGCAGCAAGGACGAAGAGCAAAAACCTTCCCAGCGACTCCCGAAGATTCCATGAGGAACCCCAGGCCCCAGCACATGCCTCGTTCGCATGAAAGAGCTCCTCCTCAAGCATTACGATCATGTCCAGGCTTGTCTGGACTGCCGGATCGACAGCGTGTGCAGCATATCGAAGCTTGGAAACCTTTTCAGTCGCTTTGGTGCGACTGAGTGCCACGAGGTCATCAGTTGCCAGTCGAATGGCAAACGGTGTCCGCTTCCGGTCTGGACGATCGCCGGTTACGGGACCGGCTACGAAAGCAAAAGTGAGGACACGCAGCTGTCCCCCTCCAATGCACACGACGAAAGTAGGTTGGTGGAGAACTGGGTCAAGGCCGCATTCGGAAACCAGCTGCATGCCAGGGCTGACCGAAATGTTGACTGCACACTCTAACGCAAGCTTATGAAGGGCACCCTCGTCGATCTTGTGCCGCTTGAGGTAGTCTGGATCTGGCGTGTCGTCGTCGAAATCGCTCGGCACGCCCAGTGTCCCGCGGCGGTGGAGAAATTGCACAGCAACACCTTTGTCGTCAAGGCCATAGCCTTCGTCCAGCAGTTCTTGACAAATGGAGCTTGCCAGTGCATCCAAAGCAGCTTCACAAGAAGCAGCACTCACTTGGCCAATAGACTGATGCTGCGGGCGCACGGGATACAAACGTCTTCGGCCGAGCACCAGTATACTTCCACCCTGCATCGTTCTGCCCAAATCTCTCAAGCGCTCAAGACGCTCAGTTTCAGAAGACGGCAGGGCCACTTCAACCTCAGAGGGTGAACAGCTGGTGCCCAGCAACATGATGAAAGCTTAAGCACCTTGGTCTGTACATTTACGTGTTTATCTTATTCTTGATTTTCGGATCGTTTTGGAAACCCCGACCACGCCCTCGGGACGCTCATGAAGGCCTGGTGGAAGTGGTGGCAAGCCTCCTCGCCAAATGCGGCTGCCCTCACCGATTTTGCTCATTGCGCTCACCAGCAGATCCTTTGACGTCAAGGCCGTGGCGGCCAACTTGTGACCCAAGCGCCGAGTGCCCGCAGCCCAGTTGACCCGGGAGGTCTCCAAACCCGGAGCTTCGCAGTTAGGGCCGGATCGAGCGACGACGGCCCGCATGCTCTTCATGCTCGCGATCTACGTCTCCCGAACAGGATGTCACTCAACTCTTGCGCCATCTTGCATCCCTCCTTTCACTAGTGCCTGATCTGTTTCAGAAATTGCTCGTCCAATTCCATGTTACGTACTTTAACCAGAACTAATTACGTACTTTACCCAGCGGTTCGCCGGAGTTCACTTGCTTCCCCTTGTCTCTCGGTCTTGAAGCGATCTGACCCAAGCAACCGCACTTTGCCTCTGGAAGCACGTGACCTCTTGGGCTTTAAGAAAACATGTGGCTCGACTTAATTTTCTTCGGCAGCGTCCTCGTGAAACAGGTAGCACAAGTCCTTCGTGGAAAATTTAACTCAGCTGCCGAGCACTTTTTTGTACTTCTTGGTCAGAAGGCACGACTCCACAACAGTGATTCCCCAATCCTGTCGAACACCAGCATTTCTGTGATGGCTGACTAAACTTGCATCGCTTTAGCTCCTTTCCGCTGTTGTGCCCGGCTCCATTAACTCCGGCTCTCTCTTTGGCCTTTGAGCGCAAAGCCATGGAACACACTGCATCTGGAGACTTGTGAATGTTCCACTCCTGCCTGCTCCTCATTCAAGCAGCCTAGGATGCCGTAAATAACCTCAAGTAGCGTTGAGCCAACACGCTGAGAATGCTGCACAAATGCCCTGAGAAGCGGAACTGGGGCTTTGTAGTCCAGGTTCAGTCTCATGATGCCCTGAGTAACGGCCTCCGCGCCGACTCACCACGCTGTCATGACACACTTTGAAGCCTGAAGAGCACCTCGCTGATGTACTCGAAATGCATTGTGCCGCCCTTTATGAGGCAGCCGATGCCTTGCTGCTGAGAGCATCTCACAGGGGTGCAAGAAATGCGCACTCAACACCCGCGGAGGGATATGATGGATATCGGATGATGTCGGATACTCAGTCGTGATCATTACGCCCTAGGCCGTGAGAGAAATCAAGATAGAGTCTGCTGCTGACTACGATCTGAGTCGTGGCAATTGTGGCCGAGCCCCTGGTGTTAGTGCGTGAATGGGCTCGCACCACAAAAACCGTCCGCTTCAATGTAAACCAAATTCAACTCCGCCACCGGGAAGGGTCCGACGGGTGGCACAAGCAGGACAACTCATTGACGGCACCCTCGAAATTCATCCAAGCTGCAGATGATTCCATCAAACCGACCAGAATCCAAAAGTACCTGCATGCGATGCGCATCCACGAAGGCTACGGCTACTCGAAGCGAAACAAGCCGCAAGCCGTGCAGGTTGTAGCGATAAGCAGCCATTCAACGAAGGCCTGGGCAGCCTGAGGAATTTCATAAGATCCGGCCTCGGCTGTGGTCCCGTGCGCTGCTTTCGCAAGAAATCTGTCTTTGGAGCATCGGAGCCCGGCGACATGTTCGATGGTGATGTCGGTGACCTCGTCTGAACTCTGTGAGGCTTCACTTTGGCATCGCTCGCAGACGCAAGATGTCAAGCGACGTGGCCGCATGTACACTGCCCATGAATTGGCTCCGAGCGTTGCAAGACGTAAGGGCTTCGACAGCCCCGGCCACCAAGCTGTCCTCTAGGAAGGGAGAGATGCAAGAGGAAGGCAGCCTCTGCTTTGAGGCTCCGTCACATACTATTGAGTTCCATCTCGCGCTCAGGATTCCGATTCGAAGCCCTGCGCCATCATAGGTCGGCAGATCCTAGGAAGAGCGCTGAGCGTAGAGCACCGCCGAAGACCGCCAAACGCTGGGCCGCTGGGGGCTGGGCCAGGCCACGGATCGTCTGGGCGCTGTCAGGGTTCGGAGCCTCCCAGCTCTCGCGATCGTAGCACCCACTGACACTACGGACACTACGTAAGGAAGGGGGACCCACCGGACTGGGTGTGCAGCATTCTCGATTTTTCGTTTGGCCATGTGGCGGAATCGAAGGACACCCCTTCGATCTCTGCAGAGACACACCCTGATATGCCTGGCCTGAGCCAAGATAGACAGCTGAGATCTTGAACAAGTTACACCAAGGAGATGAGCAGAAACTTCGACCACAAGCCCGTAGCCGAAGCCTAGAATAAAGCAAACAGGAGTTAGGCACACCTTCACTGCTCGTGACGACACGTTCTTTTCCTTCGGCACTGCAGCATTGACTTCTTCTGCCAGAATGTCGGCATCGCTTGTCGACGGTGGTTTCTCCGGCAGCTTCTGCATTAGGTACCTGGACGCAAGATGCCAAGATATGCTAAGGCAAAGAACACGCGGGAATAACATGTAATTGACATCCAGCCCTGAGGGGGTCGCAAGTGCATCAATTGAGCCAGCTCCTGGTGCGCTTCGCATCACTGCGCGGAACTCGAGCTGTGATGGTTAACACACGCATTGGCGCGTGTCATTGTTGTTTCTGCTGGTGGACCTCATGCAGTGACACTTGCAGCCTTGGGGCCCTTTTGGGACAAAGACCGGGTTGTGCGCTGCAAGAACAAGGCGTGTGTGTTTGTCGCGGCTTCAGTTTTCGCATGGAAGCAAATACAGAAGCAAAATGGTGGACAGTGACAAACCCAACTCAGCTTGCGACTAACTGAATATAGGATGCTTCTGATTTTTTATGACATGCGTCATCAATTATCCGTGTCCTGCGTTGCTCGCCGCAGCAGTTGGGACTCGCATGTCCCACCTGCCGCTCCACAGCCCACCAGCGATGGCAAAGTCTTATCAAGGTGCACACTGAGGACGGTACCCAACTGCGCTTGCAGCAGCCACCTGTTGAGCCTCGAACGACATCATGGACGTTCAGTGTACATCTGCGAAACTGCCTCCGAGACTAGGGGTCCAACTCTACAATACGTCGATCTGCCTGCCTCACTTCCTCAGTCCGCCATCGCTCTCAAACGCATTTCGGTACATTTTGTGAACTTATATTTTATGAACAAAGATTCGCAAAGCTGCGCTCCTTGGGGGGTCTGGCTACAGACGGACGGTCTTGTTTGGGGATCCTACAGTCAACTGGTCCTTAACAAACCAAATCTGTCGCTTCCAGTCCCAGCCGCTGCGGCCAGCTTGTGGAGACGTTGAACCTTGGAAATTTCCCACAGCCCTCCGGCCAGGTTCGAAAGTTCTTCTGATGCGTGCTCGCTCTCAGCAAAAGCACGAAAAGGCCCGCACTGCATCTTCGCCGGCAATGCCTCGGTTTGAGTCTCAGATGCGCAGCACCTTGTAGGCACCACTGGGACAACACACTTACTGCAAAGGCCCTCGTGCAGACGGCGTCTTTTCGAGTGCTTTCGCGGATCTTGCTGTGTCATTCACGTCGTGGGTTGGACAAGTCCTGATGCTTCGATCCCAGTGCCATGGACATCCAGCCCGCAATGAATAGGAGACCCCCCATCGGTGTGATGGGTCCTAAAAGTTTCCGTAAACCATGACCTTTCGGAAGCAGGACCAAGCCGTAGATACTTCCACTAAAACAGAGGCAGCCGGCAGTAAACAGCTTCGGCGCAGAGCTGCCCCTGCGAAGAGCCGCAGCAACACCCACCATAACGGCATGAATCAGCTGATACCAAGCAGCTGTTTTCCATGACTCCAGAAGATCAGGATCGGTGACGTACTTCTTCAGCCCGTGTGCACCAAATGCACCCATGGCAACACCAACAGCACCGAGCATGCCGCTGACAGCCTGCAAACATCTGCAAACTCATGGAAAAAACATCTTTTTAATCTTAGAGCCGCTCAGAGCTGGTTTTCGTGCTCCGATAAAGGAACGCACTTGGTTCGGTCAAGGGGCCGTCCAGTCCATGGCTTCAGCTCAGTCAGACTCACTCAGACCTACCTAATACTGCACCTCGTCAAGACCTTGAGCCAAGTCTGTCGGTGTGCCACTGGGCCATGTGCTGCTGTAGCGAAACAAACAGGCGTGACTCACAGTGTGGATGGCAATTTCCGCCCATGAAACTTGCTTAGTCTTCTGCCCAACCCAGGTAGCGGTTGGACTCTAAGCCGCGGGCTGGAAAGCTGGGACTCCTCGTCCAAAAGGCGCTGCAGCAAGCCTGCGGAGCGAGCTCTTGCTGGCGAAGCAGCGCTTATTGCGAGCCAAGCTATCTCTTGAGATCGCTGCCCTCAAACGCCGACACCATCGCGCGATCTCTTCGCGCACTGCCTGAAGCTCAGCTCATTGGACTTTGACTGGACATCGTGTGCACAAACGACCGTCTGGTGTGAGGGAGGGCCAAAGCCATTCTTCAAGGGCCACATAGAACTTTATCCATCAAGGTCTGGAATGCTCTTCGCCAGTCAAACTATTGATTCGAGACGACGTCGGTCCGTGTCATTCACTCCAAGGTTCGTGCCATCCAAATCCATCAAAGCCGCGACCTGTGTCCGCGATCAGCCCGCTAGCACTTCAACATGTAGGAAACGAGGTGTCAGCCTCTGGCTGCCATCTCAGTCCCGCACGGATGCATTGTCCGTTCGAGAATAGATGGTTTCCAAGCCCCTGCGTGACTTTGCATGTCATGCCAGAATACATCTGACATTCAAGTAGATATGCGAGAGGTACTAGCCCGCGTCCTCTGGATGACTCTGTCGCGGAAGGAGCGCACCTGCCTCCCGCTCAGAAAGTAGAACATGGCAGTCCTAAGCCATTCCGTGCAGTTGTCATGCAGTAGACAACATTATCAGCATCAGCACATATCAGCATTTCGCTACTACTCTGAGAAGGGCACCACAGATCATCTACCAGGAAACATGCTGCATCGCCTTTCACAAAGCACCTTCGCATGTGCTATCTACGCCACCAAACAGCACAAACCTGAGGCCAAGTTGATCATAGTAGATCCGGGCCTGTGAAAATCAATAATGCAACGCAAGGTTGTGCTATCCAGCTGCAAGGCCACAATATCGGCGCCCTGTGGCACCATGAGCCCGCCTCGGCACACACACACACACGAGAAGCTCACCCAGCTTGGGTACGCTGTATGAGCCAGCTCACGAAAGAAGTAGGCGAAGAAAGAGCTGATGTAGTCACATCCAAGATGTTGCTGGATCTGGCACAACTCGCCTGACAAATACAGACGCAGCAACCTCAACCCCCCAGATGTGTCTGTGAAGCCGTTTCTCTGAACTACTTAAGCCCTGATGATGCCTAGTGCTGATGGTAGGTAAGCGTGGTCATCGTCGAGCAACATCAGCATATCGCCAGGGATTGCCCTCAGAGTCTGTCAGAAAGAAAGCAGGTGATTGTTAGCAAAAAGAAAACGGAGCGTTGCTAGGGCTCTGAGGCTTTCACCTGCCAATCGATCTTTGAAACCAGTCAGCTGCCCCGAGTAATTTGGTGCCAGGACCTGCATCCTCCTCCAACCAGTTGACCTGGACAGGAGCTGCGTTTTCTCGCCTCCCGGAGCTCGTTGCGCCCTGTGCCTCCATCCATGGATGCTTTGCCATGAGGCAGGTCACATGATCCGGCAGCTCATACTTGCGGCCTCGCATGAGAGGCCAAAAGGCTTGCTTTTTGGGTTCTTGCTGCAACAACAAGACACGAGCCTTCGCGCGCCGACAGCCGCGGCAATGACAGAACGAGCCGATCCGGTCGCCTGGACCTCAATGTGATCTCTCAACATCACTTGAAGACGCCACTGGCGAAGATGATGGGTGAAGCGCTGGCTGGCTATAGACTCCAGCGCTGGCCCAATCCCTGAAGGACGCAGGCCGGCGACGAAATCTAAAGAGCAGTCAAAACTACACTCACAGTCACTGGCACTTGGATTTACAGAAGACTCCCTCAATCGTAAAGCTCTTGACATAATTATGCTTAGATCGTTGCAGACTGGAGCTACTCTATGGAAACGTCAACATCGGCATTTGCAGCACCAAAAAGCTGAGAAGTGTCGCAAGCAGAAGGGCCTTCCAAACGCGACGGCAAAGAAGTCATACCAACAATTAGCAGCGGAGCCCTGGCAAAAAGCCAAGAAAGAGATGTCTCCCTTCCGAAGGACTGAGTCGAGCAATGTTTGCGCCTGCATGTCTCGGGCACTGGACTCGGCATCGCCTCGAGACGATACCATTGAGACTTAAAACAGAACTCTGCTGACTAAAGAGATTAGACTCCTTCCGTTTTTCGTAGGCTTAACCTACGTCGAGTAGTGGGAGGCGTGCGACGGAAGAGCGGCCCCGGCGTCGTGTCGCCCACACCTCATGCGAGTAACCCCATCAGCTCCAAGGCTCTGCCGATCGTGCGTCGCTTCTGCAGTCAAGACATGTCGGAGCGGTGCTGCCGCAATGTTTTGCCGTCGTCTGAGCTTCGGAATCGGAAAGTATGTCAGGACACTTCTCGCTGTCTCGCAATGGAGAACCGCGGCTTGCATGAAGATGCAGCTTTCATCAGCTTAGAGAGCTATTGGCGAGCCGAGACTCGTTGCCCCGTCGGACTGCGAGGATTGATTTGCTACAAATACCAGTGCACTAAATGGGCTCCGGAATAGGTATGTCCCGTACTGAGCTACGACAGAGAGTCCTTTGGCACTGCTGCATACTGCTGCGGTGCATTGCTTACGAGCTGTGTATTTGCCGGCTGGTGTCGCGCGCAATGCAACTCCTTGTCATGCTGGATGGCATGGGGACTTTTGAGTGCATGCGACCTTTAACGTGTGGTTCCTTGGCATAGGCATGGGAATCATGAGATGTGCTCCCACATCTAGCGACCTTGCATAGATGCAGACTAACAAAACCTAACGTTGAGAGGCTGTGAGACAGTCCCGCGTGGCTGGAAACTAGCTCTTCATGTTTCCAGTATACTCAGTAACGCTGCTGCGTTAGGCAGCTGCTTATTTAGTCAGGTTTGAAACCTTCCGCTTATGTACAGGTTGTGATTCGACGCACTTTTGGCATCAGCATCTGTTGCCAGAAAGCGATCGCTGTCCATTCGCAGCGAGAAAGATTCCTCGCCTCGGGCTTCGCGAAGCGGCCATCAGAGTTCAGCTTTGCATCTGGGCATTGGGAGCTGAGGCGGAGACCGATGGTGTTGGACCGTCCCGCCGCCTGGAGAGCGCCTCGGACTCCGTGGAAGGAGACTACAATGCTCGCGACAAGGGACTCACGTATACTCACGTCTCAAGCAAGGCACTTTCGGTGAAGGAGTGCCGCCTCTTCTGTTCAGCTTGCTCCCTGTAAGCTTCATAAAGGTCTGGGCAAACAAAGTAAACTCTTCTCGCTTTCTCCGTCGCAAGGGTGGCACCAAACCTGAAAAAGCTTGCCAAGATAGAACTGCACAAGGGAAAGCTGACAACACCAACAAAGAAGAAACACTTAGACATGCGGTTCTTCGTGCCGACGTGATGCCTCTTTGCGGGAAGCGGAGCCTGGCAAAAAGACCGGCAGTCAGTCCAAGCCCAGGGCTTGAAAAAGCAATTTCAGCGGCCTGATTGCTCAAATGCTCGAGCGCTTCTTTGCTTTCAGTGTCTTCAATGTCATCGCCCAGCAAGGAATCACCTGCAAGTTCGACTCGCGACACTGAACGCACCCGAACACGCTCGCTCGCCGCTCGCCTCGCAAGCACTAATCACTAGTGGTCACTGGAAGCTGCACAGACTAGAGCTGTGCGGGAATTTTTTCTGATGACTTTCCGCTGCCTTGCCCACAGACTGCCACAAACATTCTCAGAAACGTTTTCTGTAGGCAAGTTTGGTTGCAAGAAATCCGCAAACAGTTGGCAATAGCGTGAGAAAGCGTGAGAGGCACTTCGCACATGCTAACATACCGATGTGAAAGCGGTGTGTGCACATATTCATGCCGGAGATCCCCCATGGACTTTGGTCAAGATCAATCAATTTTAAACAAACACAAGAGTCAAGGAGCATATTGATGAGAAAGATGGAGGAGCCTGTCGTAGAGCGGGCTTGATTGCTTTCAAGTGTTTCCCAAGATTGCAAACTCGTCAATGCTGCACTCCTGGCGGAAGTGTTTGCAGGAAGGCCTACAGGCCTATATAAGAAGTTGAAGGAACCTTCCCATCGCGCGGAGATTTGCGCAGCTCACTTCCTGTGTCTTCTTTGTTGCCCAAACAATGTGGCAAGACACTGTAACCAGGTATTGGGTAGTGTGCCTGCGAGGTGCACTCGGCGGGCCAGCCCGGAACTCTGTATCTCGCCCAAGAAGGGCCACGCTGTGAGGCTCTTCGGGGCCCTTTGCTCGGGGCCCTTTGTGTGGGCCCCTATCCCGCATTTTGATTTTGAGGGTGGTGCCTTCTGTCCTGCCTCCAGCTTCATGGTCCACTGGCTGTGCTTGGTCGCCGCCCGTGGTCCGGGTCGTCGTAGTCGTCATGGTGATCCTCGTGGTCCCGGTGCTGGCTGGTCGTCTTGGTCGTAGTCGTCCTGGTGATCTGGATCATTCTTGGTCGTCGCGGTGCTCGCCATCATCTTGACCGGTGGTACTGGTTGCTTTGGTTGTCTGCATCGGTCTTGGTGGTCATCGTCGGGGTTGTGCATGGTCGTTCTGCTCCCTACAAGCACACTTTCGCATGGATCGGACCGGGCCCACGCACAACTTGGGCGCCGGGTATCGCAGCGACGATTTTCGTTGTGATTTCAGCAATTTCAGCTATTTGGCCAATGGGAGCTGCCCGCCTCCGGGGGTCAGCGACGACGGCAGGGAGAGGTAGATCAAAGCACTGATGCAAAGGCAACAGGCTGAGATGGTGTATGGCAGGCCTCAGCAAAGCTTCAGAACTTAGCAGTCAATACGCTAACATGTGAATGTGTGATAAGTAGCCCTGGACTGCTACACTTGGTGCCTGACGAAGTATCCAACTCAGACAAGTGTCCACGAGATGTCTCATAGGTGCCGCCACCCACCAGTGGTCCCAAGGAAAAGCCGAGATTCAAGAGACCCCGCTGCATTCCATAGACGGCCGCCTTCAACGTGCGTACCCTTGACCGTACGACTTGTAAAGTTGAACACTGCTTTGCGCAAACCTATTGCATGAACGGCAATCGCGGCAACCCATGACGGTGTAAACATGGAAGCAGAGCAGTGGACTCTCTGAGCAACTTCTCTTCCCTGTCATCCATGGTCTTCTTTCGAGTGGAAGCTGGATCGTGCTGAGCACTGCGAAGAGGCTGCATGGGGATGAGGTTTCACACTTTTGCAATGTGATACAAACCATTGCTCCAAAATATCATATCTTGATCGTTTAGCTCTGCAAGGTTCTCAGCACAATGTGTCAAATTTCAGTATCCCAATAGACGCTGAAGAATGGGCTCGCCTGTTGCTTCTCCGGCACAAGGGTGTTGACAAGGCTCGCTTTACTGGCCACTTCGACCAACGTGGCAAAGCAGCCAAAGAGAACGGCGTAAAGATAAGGAGTCCACCATGCTCGGGACAATGTCATTAGCACCTTTCTATTCCGTGCTGGCTCGGCTGTTCAACGACTCTCTGAGTCTCTCTGCTGCCGAGTGGCCATGACACCAGCTGTGCTGATGGTAAACACAACGCAAGTCAGCTTTGCAGGTAGTAGCTTGCCCATGTAGGTTGCCAGGCTTCCCCACAGCAGGCTGGATGCGGAACAAGTCATCATGAACTGTGCTTGCTGCTCCGGGGCAAAACCATATTGGTCATGCAGGAAAAAAGCCTCGGGACCATCACTGACGGCCTCAGTGAGAGCATGTCAAAGGCAGCTTGGGAGGGCTGCAGCCGCAGGCTGAGGAAGCTGCGAGGGAGAAGCCGTCCTTGGCTCCAACATGCGCCAGCCCTGATGTGCAAAACGCCCCTTTCCTCGCAAAGCGCGAACGTTAGCTGTAAGCTGAGTTGCAATGAAACATGCCAGCAGTAGAAGCTTTGTTGGCCCGTGCAGAAAGTTAGAACCTCAATCGATGTACATCGCTGAAGGAAAGGTAGCATGGCGCGGAACTGTACTGAGTCTCCTGCTGACAACAGAAATTTTGCGTCGAGGCGAATCAGCTGGTGTTTGCACTGATGGCCGTGCCGCCTGGTCCATGCAACAATGGATCGGCACTTTCATTTCTCGGCACAGTGCGGCCTCCGACTAAGGATGGGATCGGATGTGCATTGACAAGCAAGGACTTGTGCTCCCGCGACTCATGTCAATTTTTTCGGAGTGTCGCCAGCACCGGTCAAGGTAATTGGCCAATCGTGAGCACGGCGCGCAATGCTTCAACCGGAGCATGATTTTCGTGTGCATAAGCCGGCCCAGGAATATCGTTTTTAAGCATCATGTCAGCTGATGGCTACTTGCGCGTGCATGTAACATCATGTAACCAAGAATCGAGCATGTGCACGCAACATAAATGGCTGCCTTGCCTTGACAGTCTTTGGACAAGTGAAGAATCTGACACCTCGGAAGCAACACAGCACACTGTCTGGACAGTTTCCAAATCGCCATAGTTTCGACACGTCCCAGGCCTATGACCAAGTTGAGCACGCACAGCCCTGAGATGGCATAGCAAAGGTGCTCGAACTCGAAATGGCTCTCAAATCTTTTCCGCTCGTAGGGTTCCACCATGCCACCTATAGCCGGTCCCAGAAGACACCCGGCGGCCTGTAGTCTCGCCTGCAAGTTCACCCAGTAGGCGCGGTCGGACTTCCAGGTCAAGTCCGCCATGTACGCGACTTCGGCTGCCATGGTCCCACTCACGAAACCGAGAGCACCTCTGGCCAGCAAGAGTTGGAAGATGGTGCTTGCGTTGGCCATATACAGATACCTGCAGCTGCAATTCAAATAAACTCTGCCGTCATCTTGCAATACAGCAGAAACTGCCCTAACCCTAGTCTAGTTGTTAGTATGGGAAATCACTCAACCACATCTATGCTTACCGGCATTTGCCAGTGTCCTCGGCTTCATGTGTGTTACATGCTCATACGCATGCACCTTTTCAAACACTCCTCGACACACGCACGCAGCAAGTGTGAACACCGAAAGCATAAAGAATCACCTTTCCGCTCAAGTGTGCAGGTGGACACGAGACAGCAAGATAGATGGTTCAGATTTATAGTGTCTAGGGTAGGAAGACAAGGAAATCAAGCGACAGACAGCTTAACAAGGCATAATCGAGAAACAGATAGAAGCTTTAGGTGGACATATAGATGAACGGCAGAAGCACAGAGACGAAGGCTCGATACGCAGATTAAACAACATCTTGGAGAAACGATCGTTGGTCGTGTCGATGTTTTCCATAATGGCTGAGGCACACAACTGAAGTAGCAGCCAAGCCCCCTAGCAGAATCGGCCGACGCCCAAGGCGATCTGACAGCACTCCCAAGAGCGGTGAGCTCAGCATCTGGGTTAGGGCGTAAGCAGACGAAATCATCGCGTAGTGAAAGGCGTGGCAGCCCTTTGCCATGGCAAAGTAAGGCAGTGCAGGCGCCAAAATCCACTGTCCACCTTGGTGCATTGAGTGCACTGAATGCTCTGGTGAGTGCAAATACAGACTCACATGCCAACAAAATTGAAAGCTAATTCCTGAAAGCTGCAAGCCCAGATGAAGGAAGAGCATATCAGCGCCCCGAGCTCGATTTGGGCTGCTCGATTGTTGCGAGACTGAGGCTTCAGGGCAGGCTTCAAAGGAGTCGCCGGTGCCATGGCCACCACATCCAACCCGCCGGCTTGTGAACTCTCTAGTGCTCTAGTTTCAGTTTCACTTCGGCCACTTCGGCCTTCGAGGGACGCGAAACCGTGTGTTTCACTGGAGTTTGCTCTACGGATTCTCGGGGATTCCATTGACGCCGGCACTTTACTCCATGCTGCATCATGCTGCATGCCAGTCCTGCTCATCAACCTGCTGGCTGCTATCTAGTGTCCGTCAAAGGCTGCAGAAGCAGTGCGAATCTGCTGCTCCATGTAAAACATCCTCGTCTGCCCAACATGTTCCCGCAGTGCAGGCCTGCCGGCGCCTCGATGCGTAGCTGGAAGACACCTGAAACTTCACGAAGCTCTCGTGCTCGAGCCGAAGCACGACTTTTCTCAGGACTGGGCGTAACTTACATGGCAGCGCTTGCGATTGTGTTGCACATCAATCATGAACTTGAAGCAAGCTGGCACGCGGATGTGTAACCTACATCAGGTGCTGCTAATGACTTACTATGCCCAGGTTGCTTGAAACGAATCGTGTTGCCATGCTGAATCGTTCGCTGGCGTGATTGTCGTATCTTATCTGCGAGTGTGCACACTCTCCTGTTCCTGCTCTCGTGCTAAACTGATATAGACGTCTTCCACATAAAAGCGAAGGCAGGTCAATTTATATAAAGTACAAGCACCCACATGACCGTCCATCGGCTTCTAGATACCTCGTCCCTCCGATCAGCCCACAATTCTTCACCCAGTTTCTCGACGGCGGCGACGGATGTGTCGTCAGACAGGCTGTGGTTGCGACGGGGCCTTTTCCAATCGCAGGAATAAGACCAATGCCCATCTGGAACCACATGATATAGGCTTTGCTTGGTGCCAGATCTTGGTGTCCAAGAAGATACAGTCGCCGGCGTCCATGGTGTAGACAAGCTCTTGCTTTGGCTTGCCATCCCACACATGCAGGGCACCTCCTTCGAAAGGCTCATCTGTAGGAAGAGCCAAGATTACGGAGCCATCCACGTTGGCACCATCCTGACCGATTCTGACCAACAGGACATGATACTGCAAAGACTGGCAGACCGTTGCACCGAACAGTACCAAACAGCTACAAACAGTCGTGTGCTGTCGGATCTTTTGGTCTGACCTTCCGGTGTCAAAGGGAACAAGCAAAACCTGAGAGGCACACAGGAACAGTCTAGATTTTAGCAGCTTCCACGATCGAGTCTGAGTCATATCAGAAGATGCCAAGCATCGATGTGCTTCTGCAGCTCATCTTCTCCATGCACTGGCCGATATCGAGTCACGAAGGCATTCATCACTTCAAACTTCTTGCTTCCAAGTCTGTAGCCTTTCAACTGACAATACCAGTCTTCAAACATGTCTACGCAGTCGGACATGACGGAGCCGAGACATCGAAGCATTGGCTCGTGGGGCAGAATCTTCGGCTTCCAGTTCTCCATTACGACCAGGTAGCAGGAAATTCGCCACTGATCTCCGTATCTGGAATTCCTTCCGTAGTCAAGCGGCTGCTGAACGTAGCTGGCCTTGATGTCCGGGAAGAGGTTTACCAAACGCTGACGGTCGACTGCAGACTTTTTCAGCTCGTGCGCGAAGGCGCGGCCCCGCTCCGCACCTGAATTTGCCTTCTGAAGTGCATCATCCCTCAGAACGCTCACAAGCACCTTCGCATCCTGAAGAAGTTGGCCGCTTGGTTCAAGGCCACGCTGAGTCAAGTACCTCGCAAAGCGCAGCAGAGCGTGTTTGAGCCACATGAGAAGTTCTCGCAGTATCACTCTTTGTTCTGTCGAGAATCTTTGCTAGATTTCGCTGGCTGAAGCTGGTGGACCGCGCATCAGACACGACCATGCAGACGGCTTTGCTGAGATCTTGCAGCTGGCGGAAGAGAGCAGCGATTTCTCTCTCTTCTGCAGCAGCCGACCGCTTCCGCCAAAGAAGCAAAATCGAGACGAAGCCTGGACGCGCAAAGGGGAGCAATGTGGGTCGGCATCGAGATTGGTTTTTGGTTTGCTGTTCGCATCCGATTCTTTGGCCATTGTTCGATATGATGGTGCATGCGACATGTAGCTTCAAGCCAGGCTTTTGGAGCTGGAGATATTCGGGGAAGATAGTTGAGGGGAAGCCCTAGCACACCCTTTCAGCAACTTTGGACCCGACCTGCACGTGTGGATTCGGATCTTAAGCCAGTGACTTGCTACCGTCCAAATGCAAGGGGAAACCGAGGCAGTGATGAGAATTGCAACTACCGCTTGCGAGCCTCGAGTGCAGTGAGTTGCCGCTTGTTTGCTGTGTGTCGGACGTACACTTACGGCTAAACGTGAACGATGCCGGTCATGAATTCTGCAATCGGCCTGCAGTAAGCGCTGCCGTCGTGACGAGCAAGGGCAAGGGACGAACATGGCTTCGGTGAGTAGGCAACATTATGCGCACTGTGGACATGATCTACCAGTGGTGCAAGCAGAAATAAGCCGCATAATGTGGCATGCACATCGCACACTGCAGCCAAGACTAATGTGACATACTAGGTGGCAGTTGCTTTCCTTGACCCGCTCTGCATCGATGACCTTTGGAGTTGTCCGCAGGCGATGATTGGATATCCGTTCAACAACTTCTTGCCAAACGTGGCTTGGAACGCTTCCGCCTTATTTCTGCCATAGCCTGTGCATCTTGGGCAAGGTTGACAAGGTTGCGTGATTCTCCAAAAGTATTTATCGAGCCCACTCCTGCCGCGGGCGTGTTTTACCCGTTTCAGAAGCGGCGCAGGCAGAAATCCCCCAACCATCTGGACAACGCTTGAGAAAGGGGAACATGCAACCTTCTGAGAATCTGTTTTGCACATGATGGCACTGTTCAATCGAAGCTACACAGGTTTAAAGTACGAAAGTGCAGCTCCTCCCTTTTGATTGAACTTCTGGGATCGTGCATGCAGTGCCAACATAGGGCATGCAGCGGCTTTGGCTGCACATCTACGGGGTGCGAGTCAAACTCCCTGCACGAACCTAGCGGCGTCTGTGCGTCGGTCAGATCTTAAATCCTCCTCGTAATCGTCCGCCCTCCTATTTCAGCGACGGTGGCAGCACTCCCACGGCTTGTACTGGAAGAGAAAGATTCCCCGCTTCGGTGCTGAGCACAAGCTGATCGACTTGATCATCCAAAGACTTCGCTGTGAAGTGCACCTCATACCAGCAGAACCAGCAATATACACGCTGCATTGATTGACTATGTTGTGGAAGGAAGACTTCATCGAGCTTCATCGGCTCCCAAACACCATGGAACATGTTCTCTGCGGTCGTTCTAAGTCTAGCTTCAGACAGAAAAAGATGAGGCAAGTCCGCAGAAAATGCATCTATGTTTCAAAAATTCCAAAATCACTTCAGAAAATCAACATGACCCGGCAAAACAATGGAAAGCACACAACAAGGTGCAGAAGATCAAGAGACAACACGAATGGATTCTGGGGTTTGGGCACGCTTCCTAGGCCGATGCCCCCAGCGGCAGGTGCATTTAGGGGTCCCCAACGACCGTTGGTGTGCAGAGCCGTTACCAGGAAAACTGCGCAGTTTTCCAACTGCGGGTCCCTCTCCAGAATCGTACTGCGAACCGACTCAACATGTATGTCCTAGGTACGTATTACCTTGCAAAGGTCTTTTAGATTGCAATGTGGACTGCTCTTCACGGAATGACTGTGTGGAACATCCATACATGTTGTGCATCTTTAGACAGTTGTGCTGTATCTCGTGCTTTCATGCTGCTGCCGGGTAGCGACCAGATAAGCATACAAACCTGGTGGAATGCTTCCAGATGCTGTTCCAGGCAATCGCCTAGTAGCTGCATCAAATCGGATCGGGTCGCTCGAGAATGCCCGATTGGTGCAGGGCATCACTCCTTGTCTGAGATGCAAAGAACCCCGATGATGCATGATATCACATGGCGCTAGAGCCGAAGCTGACTTGGTCCGGGATTCGTGGGCACAACGCTTTGCCCGACCTGATCGCAGCAGCGCTTCAACAAAATCATAAATCAAGGTGCCTGGAGGGGCAGACACGTTGCGAATCTCGATCTTCACGTCATAGGTTTGTCCGACTCGGCAGCCTCTGAAGATGCCGGTTAAAAAGGCCAAAAGCACCGAGCACCGACACGCACTGCCTTGAAAAACTGCTGCTTCTGGAATCAGTTGGAGGGGTGCCTTGGCATCACGTCGGTGCGACTGCGAGTCGATGCGAGTCTTGCTCTCAGGTCCTTGCAGGCCTCGCCGCTTTGATCTTGCCGCCGGTCTCCTGACCCGGCCCTGGCCGAAACATCGTCTTTATCCTGTCTTGGCTTAGCACCCTCACAACCATTCAGCTTCTGGAGGCCTCGCCGAACAACAGGCTGCTCGGATGGATAACCTGCTTTCTGGAGCTCGTGAGGCTCTTCCTCAGGCTTTCAGGCTTCATGCAGAATGCAACCTTGCATCTTCTATGAACGAGGCTGGGTTGAATATTTGGGAAGCAATTTGGTGGTGCCGGCCTGTTTCTCTGCCTCGATGTCGGCAACCAGCCCCGCAGCACATAGCGTCTTGGAATCCAGCTGCTTGTCCCGAAGGTTTTTGTGCACCTCGTTGGGCATTTTCTCTTGCAGACTTCAGCTCGCCAACGAATGCAGCCAAGCGACAGCCTCCAGCTGGAAGCTGTCTTCAGCTAGCTTCGCCTAAGGTGTCCCGCAGGCGGCATGAGCATACACAGCAGCCGCATCAAACACATATTCCAAACAGGCAGGTCAAGTGGCAACAACTGCAGCTATTTGTGCATCCTCATCCTCACCATCCTCACCACCTGGCTGGCCAGCAATCCGCAGAAAGCTCGCAAAAGCCTTGAAGAACGTAGTATGTACGTGATCGTAATCAAGCAGGGCCCTGGCTGGTCGCAGTTCCCACGCATGGCTCCAGCTGGCCGAATGCATCCTTATCACTGTAAGATCACTGTGCCATGCTGTGCTGCCCCTGGCCTCGAGCAGGCTGCGAACGCACTGACTTCGAGCCATTGAGCTGCGAAAGCCCAAAGTATACAAGGAGCAGTGGAGTGATTGCACTTGGTGCTAGGCATACACAAAAGCATTCCATAATCATGTCATTTTGCAGCCGCTTGCGTTGCTCTAAGCTCGGTGGGCCAAGTTGTCGAGGCAGGACCAACCGGCGGTCTTGCGGTCCTCGGCAAAGCTGCCGCTGCGTTGCGTTCAGGGGGCGGGGCGATGGGGGGCGGGGGAGTCGGAGAAGTCGTCTTCTTTGTTCTTGAGCGCTGAGCTTCTCCTCTGCTTCCCGGCCGGCACTCCATGGGCACGGTGGGCCACCCCTCGAGTCATGGCCACTTTCCATCTAAGACTCCAACACCTCGAAGCCGGTCGTTGATGATTTTTGTGATGGCAGCATCAGGATGCGACCGTCCACAAGAAGAACTCTTGAGCAGGGTTCCAAGATACGGCGGCCCTCATGACTCTCTCGTTTTGCAGCTTGGAAAGCTGCTGTCGGTCGTCTGGCTTGGCCTGATAGCTAATGACCTTAACCAAGTTGCAAGAGCAACATCACATAATACCTTAAATCTCCTGCAGTTCAGAACCCCAAGCCGCAGACGGTCGATCCTGGAGGCATTGCTGAAACCTTGGCTTCTGACACCGTCATGAGATCAGCTCTACCCCAGTGTCCGAGTCAAGTAGCATCGACCAGACAAAAAGATGACTGCAACCGAGACGCCGCCCTCAGAAGCATGTTCACACGTACCTCTGGTGGCCACAGCGCATCATTTAGCCAGAGCACTCCCGTGGTCGATAAGTCTGCATTCGTAGCATCTCCGCACACGAAGCCGACGTCCACGGACTCCACAGCTCTTGAAAGGTCTCCCGCCAGGCTCTTCGAATCAGCTACCAAACACTGCAACAACTCATATCCGGTACAGTTGAAGCCCAAAGCTGTAGCTGCAAAGAGGCATTGGTAACCAATTGCGCTTCCTCCCACCGTGTATTGTAGGCCGGAAGCTATGTAGCCTGGTATGGCGCGGCTCAACGTGCTGTCAGCCATGATTGACAGCCAAGTCTCAAACCACGTTGTGCCATAAGCACAGGCCACACTTCCGGACCCAAGCTCAAGGCATTCATTCCAGCGTCGCAAGGCCCACTCTGTCGAATTCTCCAAATTCCGCACTCCTTCAAATCAATGGAAAGACTCAGCATGTCTGCTACTGTCATCTTAAGCCTACGTTCGAAGACCAAAACTGACCCTCAACTCCATCACAGCCATTCACAGCGCGCAAGGCGCTACTTGTAGCCCACTCCTCGAAGGACGGGAATCAATTGGTGCAAGCCCTCTGGTGGGTTCTCCGTCACAGCACTTGCAAGCCTTCTGATGACACTCTCATCTGCTTCGCTGTTTAAGTCCAGGGCTGCAGCAACATACCTTGAGGCAAATTCCTCTTCATGCCGCAGCCTGCTCTGCAAGAGTTTGTTGCTGTCCAGCTGTGTCATAGACAGCCGGAAGGGCCAAATTCCCTTCGCCGTGGCCAGTTCGACTCGACGGGCCACCAAGGCCTTTGCTTCCTCAACTTTGCCTCTGAGACTGAGTACGCCGCTAAGGCTGTAATAGGCTCCGTCATAGTCTGGATCCAATTTCAAAGCTGCCCAGAAGCTGCTCTCTGCCTCTTCCCAGCTTTGCTGAAGCATTTGAACTATGCCTAGATTTCCGTAAGCTGCAGCATGTTCTGGGTTCAAGTCTATAGCTTGTTGGTAGCTTGCAGCAGCACTTGCGAGGTCGCCACTCAGCTTGTGAACAACTCCCAGCTGAGTGCATATACCCGCATCTGCTGGGTTCAAAGCCAATGCAGTCTCCAGCGATCCCCTGGCATCGGCAAGCTTTCCAAGTTGTCGCTGCACGATTCCAAGCTTCGTGTGCGCAGATTCCAAGCCCGGATCCAGCGCCAAAGCATTCCGGTAGCCGTTCTCTGCTTGCAACAGGTTGCCATCTTGTGCCATCATCTCAGCCAGCTCCATGTGGAGGACTTTGTCCGTAGGGTCAATTTCAAGCAGGCTCTGCAGACCTTCCGCAGCTTCAGTGAAGTCTGCATGCTTACGTAGAAACTTGGCAAAGTATCGTCGAACTGGAAGGTGTCCTGGAGCCAAACGAACAGCTTTCAAGTATTCTGCTTTTGCACCGGACCAGTTGCCACGTGCCTCCTCCACTAAACCCAGACTGAACTGTGCAGGAGCATTATTGGGTGTGATCGCAAGTCCGCTTCGGAAATGGTGGGCGGCTTCCTCGAAACGCTGCTGTTGCTGCAACAAGTTGGCCAACCGGAGGTGCGGCTTGGCAGTCGTTGCCAAAGACAGCGCTGCTCGAAAGACCTCCTCGGCCTCCTGGAAGCTCTTCGGGTCCTGAGCGCTCTCGCCTTGTCGCTGTAAGGCCTCGCCGAGGTTCAGCGTTGAAGCGAGGTGGCTGGGGTTCAGACGAACAGCTTCTCGATAGCTTGGAATCGCAGATTCCAGTTCCCCTGCCCGTTCTAGGACGATACCCAGGCTGTAATGGGCTGCTGACATCTTTGGATCCAGTTGGATCGCGCGGCGGTAGCTACTGACTGCCTGGCCGAGGTCTTCCAGCTGCTCGCATGCCAAGCCCAGGCTGAAGTGATTGGCCGCAGTCTCCGGGGCCAACCTCAAAGGGTCACAAGAGCAGAAAGAGCAGAAGCGCTCCGCTTCGCAGCTTCGCAGAACAGATCCTGCTCGGACACCCACCCCCCCAAAGGCCTGGTTGCTTCCAGGTAGTGGTGCTTCGCACCGTCCAGGTCTGACAGCTTCTCCAGCACCTTCCCGCGGGCACGGAAGGCATCAGCATAGTCCGGATGCGCGGCAATGGCTTTCTGAAAGCTGTCGGAGGCACCTGCATCTCTCAGAGTATGTGCACTCTATATAAAAGTAACTGTGCAAGGTACGGCAAAAGTGAGGATTTTTGCCGAACAGGCTATCAAGTTTCAAAGTCTGCAAGTCACGAACCACAATGTGCTTTGCTAGGCCGTTGCTTCATGCTGACAGGGACGCAGCTGGCTGCCTTGTAGGTCACCGCTCTTTTCCAAATGCTGCCCCCGAAGGAAGTGGGTTTCGGCAGCCGGTGGTGGCAAGGTCTGGGAAGGCTGAAACTGAAGCAGAACAGCCAGGGCCAAGACGGCTATTGAAGCTCCCGGCATGGCTGATGGCCGCAGCGCGCAGAGTCGCAAGTGGAACAGGACATTGTTTGCTATCCGCAAGCCCTTGTGCAATGCAAACTTAGGACTTAGGAATTTCTTCTTCTTGCTGTAGCTTGATTTTGCCGCCGTGTGCTTGGCCCGTCTCAAGGACATGTCGAATGCACAGTGACTGAGAAGACTCTGCTGGCGCTGGGGGCTGGGACAGACCGAGCCTGTCCTGCAAAGTGCAAAGCCTCTTGCCGACAAGCACGACTGCCAATCGTCGCCACTAGTCTAATGCCGCCGGCACAGGCACTCCCGTGGTAGAGGGGCGCTCTACCTATACTAAAAATAAACGGCTAGGTGGCTGCCAGTCTGCACGACTTGTAGCAGCAGTAGGTGAAAACACAACATCTTAGATGTTAGGGAGCTTGGCACAAGCAGTCGAACCAGCACGTCAGAGTTTGGCCTGGGTGTATAAACAAACTTCTGAAGTAACACAGCTTCGATGGACGTGCTTGTAGCCATACCGAGCACATTGGCTCAGTGAATGCGTCTCAAGCCTAAATCCCTGCCAGCCTGTGCAGACAACCAGACTTTGTCGAGCACGCGCGTTGCAGAAATTGAGCCTGCACATACACATCCGCTTGCAGCCAGGGTGCGGATTTTCCAACCAGATCGGTGAAGTTATCCATTTTTCTATGCAGGTCCTGCTGGTGACATGTGATTCTGGCCACATTCGTCATCAGATCCGATCTTTGCCTCCACTGAATGCTGGAGGCGTGCGATAGCCTCAGTTTCATTTCACACGCATGATGCGGCTCAGATCGTTGCTCGTGCCACGCTCGGCATTGAGGAAAGTTGCTTCGCCATGATGCACGGAACTCTGCATCAGCTTGCTGATCTGATCTCCGCCACCTTTTCGGTCAGAGAACTCGTTGCACGACTCCGTTACGCCCTTAAAGAAAAACGTTGTAGGATTCGTGCTGTCAGCGTGGCGATCCTGGCAAGCGAGATCAAGCTTCCAAGCTTCTTGTAGTCTCAACAGGCAAGCAGGCAGCATACATGGACTCCTTGTTGTTCATCAGCGACTGGCACACCTCTTCCACAGCTTGCCATTGCCTCGCGAGATGGAGCACTAGCAAAGCGGCCGTTCTGCTCTGTAGCGGTGGATTCGCCTCTGGCTTTGAGTTCTGGTTTCGAGATGAAGGGCTTCCAACCTCTTCGGAACTTCCAGTCTCAAACACGGCAGAAGCAAACTCTGACTCAGACAGTGCTCGCGCTACAACGCCTCATAGTTGACTTTTCCGTTACAGGATTTCCAACCTTAGCATCTCTTCTGAACCGCAGCAGCTTCCCAAAGCGTGCTACAAGCCAGGGCAAATGGAGTTGGCCAGGGCCCGGGCGTCGAGCAAACACTCAACGAATTCCTCCTTAGAATGAGCAGTGCGAGACACTATGCCATCTATGTCGCACATCCACTGGCATGCACGTGGTTTTGTCAGGCCCAGGTTCCATGTGAATAACTTCCTGATTGATTGATAGCGTCTTCATGACCTGCTGATGTGGGCAAGTGGGTTGCGCTGGCACGAAGAGCACTAGCACTGGTTACTGTCTTGCATTGTATTCTTGACTTGCTGTAGTGCTCAACTTGTGTCTGAAAGAGATTGTGCAGGCAGCGCCTCCTGCACATGCCGAACTGGAACACGACACATTTTGGCTGTCCTCAGTTTTGCACGGGCTGAGCCTGTGTAAATCCTTGCCTGAGCCACCTCCTCAACTTGTGGAACGAAGCCTACTGGGCCTAATAGTCTCGACTGTATGATTGCATGTTGGGCAGTAGCGGCTTGTCGGCAGAGGCTGCATCCAGGTATCTCGTAAGCATTGTCAGGAATGGACAGGAAGTGCATCAAGTCCTTCTCGCGGACAATTCCATCCTGGGCAGCAATGACGAATTTCTGTGAAAGCTGCTGACCGCATGTGGGTAACCGACTCCTCTGGTATTAATTTCCTTGAAGAGCTCCTTCAAGTCCTGAATGTGGCGTTTCCTGAGTCTCAACGCATCGCTTGCCGAACGTAAAGCTACTGTCCCGGATCAAATCCTCTTGTGCAGTACTGCAAAAACTATCATGCAAACCGGCACTTGTCTCTGCGAGATTCCGATCTTCTTCTTCTGACATGAGCTGGATCTCCTTCAGGGCAGATCTTGTATATACTGGCAAACACACACACACACCCACTGTGCGTGTATGTATATATATATATATATATTAATATGCATATTTCTGTCGGTCCATCTGCCTGTCTGCCTGCCGGTCCGCATGTGTGCACACGTATACCTGTCAATGTGTGTAGGTGTGCAGGTCGGCGAGTGGGTATGTATGCATGCATGCATGCATGCGTGCATTGACGGATGGATGAGGCAAGTGGAGATGTCGAAGTATAGCCAGGCCTTCTCTTGACTGGAGGTCGTGGAGATCATGTTCTCGCTGACCTTATGCACAACTTGACACTTAGAGGTGGATTGCTGCAATGACGAGGTCAGCATGACGATGGTGCAAATTTTCTGGGGATGTGAAGGGCCTCCCTGTTTGGTCCTTTGCCGCTGAGAGGCAACTGCGGTCAATATGGAGAGCAGTGTCCATGAGCTGGTCACCATGAAGAAGACAAAGGCAAACTTGAAGGTCGGAATGCTTTCCATGATGTCTTGGAGAAACGAGGCAAGGGCAAGAGACCAACCCGACATCAATGTCTCAGCAGCCTCCCTGACGCAAGTCCAAGGCACGGTCCAGGGCAGCAGACTCCGAATCAGATTGCGCACCACTCATCACTCGAAACAGGGTGAACATGCTGTCTGGGACCTTGGTGCCAGTGATCGAGCCGTGCTCATGCATCCTGAGCACTCGCACAGAGTGATTTCCTGGCTCTGAGAGGCCCGCAGTACGGAAGGGCGTCGTCAACTCTTTCAATGACTCATCATCCTCCTGCAGAAGCAGTCAGAAGCTGTGCTTCTGTTCTCATCCGTGGAGCCGCCTACCATACTGCTAGAGTTCTGCCTCACTCTTGCGTATCGCAAACGGTTCAGGAATGCGGCCGCCACTATTCTGCTATGAATCTGGGGTGTGCATGTTCACATAAATCGACATGCTCTCTTCCCCACGCAATGTGTACTCCAAATCTTTGCAGGAACGACGGGGGCTTGGGTGCTTGTTTTGGACTTTGCAAGCCAGCCGCGTCGTCTGCAGGAAAGATCATCTTGTGACCGATGAGTCTCGTCGTCAGTATACCCATGGCATACAGTGTGACCTTAGTCCAGGCATAGAAGAAGGACACGCCCAAAGCTAAGGCAAGCACCTGTGCCGAAAAAACATCTCAGTGCTGAGAGGTGACCACCGTGAGGACCAACACCCACACGACCCCTTGCACTGCGGCTGTGACCTCACAGAGCCATCACCCAGCGGCAGCCGATTTGCAAAGCCCAGCGCTGGGGCCACAACACTGACCACCAAAATGTACAGCGGCCGCACAGACTTCACTAACCTTGCATGATATTTGCTGTCAAGCTGAAATGCTCGCTATGGCTTCACTATGGCATTCGTTCTAAGCATCGGAGACCTGCTGTCAAGGGGCTTTGCCAATCGCAGAATTCGAAGCAAGCGCAGCAGACGCATCCTCAGTGCATCTACAGCCTCTACGGTACGCCAATGTGGTCTGTAGAGTCTTTTCCTGCTAAGCCAGACTTGTTCGCAGCCCATGGAATGAGCAGCCGACAGCATCATCAGCTGGCCGACGTTGACGCCGTGTGCACGTTTGCTGCTCTGCCGTTCGCCTCGCTTCATTTCTTTGGTCTCGAGCGCCAGACCGGTGGAAGTGGATGCAAGGCTTGAGGAGGCGACTTTGATCTCCTTGGAACGATTTCCTGCACAGTGCCCCGGGCCCCGCATGAGCAGTCGATGGTACAATCTGCGCAGCAGCATCTGCCATCCGTGCCTTGCGACATTGACCAGTGGCACAAGCCACGAATCGCCCTGAGATCAGTTCTGATTCTAGCTGAAAGGGCTCACAAACTTGTCCGCACTTTCGATACATGCGGAGTTTGGAAGAAGTCGATGTGAATCCTACTCAGGTTTTGAGGGTTTTGGGAAAGCAAAGTTACACACGTGCGACCCAGGCACTGCTGAACTGACCACGATCGCCAAGTCCAGCAAATTCCATATCTGGGGTGAGACAGCGTCTGTCACAGCGTGTGAGCTGTGAGCAGTATGCAGCTCCGAGGTGCTGCCGACGGAGACTTCAGAAGCTTAATACAGCTGAGTCACAAGGTCTGGGCTCTCGCAGGAAAAGAAATCACAACCCAGCCGCTTCATTCGCACAACGAGCTCAAAGACGTAAATACCTCACGCACATGTTGCATAGAATAGCGTCGCATAGTGCAAGGTATTCTGCAGAAGGGGGCGACAAAAGAAACCTGAATTTCAGATCGTGCGCACCTCTTGTGTGCACCCTTGAAGAAGAAACTACAAGTATCTGTATGGACTCAGCACTAAGACTAACTACCGACCATTCGAAGGACATCTTCTTGTGCCACTTCCTTTGCACCAAGGTGTTCCTTCGTGGACTTTCTGTGTTTGTGAATCGGAGAGCCGTGCCTGCGGCTTGGGTGCGGAATCTTCGCTCGTTTACAGATGGTGTAGAATTGCTCATCTGGTGCCAAATCGCGAACAACCGTTGGCACTTAGTAGGCAGTGGAGGGCTTGCAGCTTCAAAGGCATTTTGCTCCCCCCTACGAGGATGATCGGTGATAAACTCCGCGAAGCCAACTGACTGATGGCGCTGCCAGGGTGCAAAGGAGGAAGTTCTCAATTACCGCCCAACCGCCCCACTCGTAGTCAGTCTCGAAGCCCATCAGCAGGGCATTGAATGCTATCACGCCGCCTCAAAACAAGCAAAGAATCTGAAGCCTCATTTTGAAGTACATGAGCGGCTTCACCAAGGCTCTTGCCGATGAAGGACTGGAAGGTAGGTTGATCGGTCCAGGACAGATCCCACTCTAGCCTTGGTGAAAGTGAGCAGTCAAAAGAACAGTGCCTCAGTGTTCCCTGGAAAAACGAGGCCCGGACACAAACCCAACCACCTTAAATACGCGAGTTAGTCGCAGCAGTCGGATGATGCCCAGGACATTGGACCATGAAGCCGTGTCGACCTCGGCGAGCCAGGGTCGATGCTTTGGTGCGACGAACCGACAGGCTAAACCCCTGAGACCAGATGCTGGCAGAATGGGTGACAGCCACTGGTCCAGCACCTGACTGAGAAAGCTCATGCTGAGAAGCTCTCTACAGGTTGTCGAGCCAAGTCCCGAACACCGGCTCCAACCACGATGAGATCTAGGAGGCTCCACAGCAGCAGGTGCCGAGGACCACAAAGAAGCCGGCATCTGCGAGGTCAACAGGTGTAAGACCCAAAAACGGAGAACCCACGAGTTTGAGACCCCGGCTTCCACAAACCTACTCGGCAGAGAAGCTCCAAGACGTAGAAAAGCAGAGTTGCCTGGTCCAGCCAGTACCTCGTTGACTCTGCTGGACACCCAGGCCATGCGGAACAAAAAGAAACAGCCAAGGTGCAGCTTCTTGACCAAGTCCTGCGCAGACTCCGGCTCTGGTCAAGCTGTAGGCCCTACGGAAGCCCTGCAGAAGACTCGTGCGCCACGTGGTCCTCCGAGTCTGCTTCCAGGACAATGCTCACCGTATTGCAACATATGACCGAAGCCGCAAGCAGATGGAACCACCAGGACTCCACAAAGCAGAAAATTGACCTGGTTCAGCACAGCCACCCACTGTGGCATCGAACTGAAGAGAACACAGCGCTTGGACAAATGCAAGAAAGAAGCTCTCTATCAGATGGCGACATGACTTCAACTTCATCGGGGCTGTCAATGCGCAACAGCTCCTCGCTGATGCCATGAGCCAAGCTGATGTCTCCTTGGTTGAGGCAGTGCAAGTTCCTTCTGTGGTTCATTGCTGACAGTGGGCTCTTATTGCAGGTGCGGCACTCTTTGTCTTGCAAGGCGGTGTGGCCTCGTCACTTGGCACAAAATACTCCTCGTGCAATGGCACCTTTTGGTAACCTCAGACAGTCTCCCTGAAGCGTTCTTTTGTCCACTCTTCGTGCAGCTCTTCTCCAGCTCGACTGAGGATCCTGCCGTTCGAGAGCGGTGATGGCACCATGGCCGTGGCAGTGTACCTGAGGCATGACCTTCACATGCTTGAGCCGACTGCAGAATGTTCGTCGAATTTGCTGCCTGTACGGACACCGGGAGAGGCATGTGCGTCTCACATTCTCTCCCCTGCAGGTATCGTATGATCCTTGGATCTCCTCAGACCGCAGAAGCAGAAGCAGATCTATTCTGTGGCCAGCCGTACATGCTGCAGGCTTTGTAGAGATGGTCTGTTCTGAGCGGGCGCGCGCTGAAGCCTTCTCTGCTCTTTGGCAAGGCAGGTCCATGGGCTCGTAAACACAAAAGGTAGACCCTGTCAGGTGCTTTTTGCCCGGTCATTCTGGAATTTTCTGGTGAGTCTGATCCAACCATGGCTCTGAACAGCTACTGCTGCTAGCGTGTCTTGGCATGTGCCATCAATCGAATGATCCTCGCCGTTGTCTTTGCAAAGGCCATCCTGATGCCAAGCGTGTAGTGCGACCCATCATCATTAGCATTTTATCATTTTGTTGGCAGATCTGAGGAGCGAGCCATTGCTCCATGGATATAGACAGGTCTGCTGATGTCATTACCGTATCGAAGATCTTCTCCATCCGGTCCTGGACCATATGATGTAGCGAGAGTCTCAGCTGCTCAGCGAAATCAAAACGTGTGCATAGACGCACGAACACAGCATATGCATAATCAGTGCAGAATGTCTTCGCTAAACGTTTGTCAGTCTGTTGACGGGTTGCACACGCATAATATACACACATGGTCCTATGTCATATCCGCAGGTGTACATTAGAGCTTTGCCAGCATGTCTTGATGCAGCAGCACGGAGGAACAACAGAACGGCTCAGGTATTGGTGCAGCCTGCCTCCCGGATATGTGCATCTGGGAGCTTAGCCACCAATGCCAGCAGGCACGTCCGGCAGTCCTTGCGAAGTCAAGCTAGCGTCTGCGAGTGCTCAACATGAGACAAGCAGAAAATCCTCGGATGTCATAGACTCACCATCATTGGAGACGTTCATGAACAGTGTCCTTGGATGTAGCACAGCGCGAAACTCTCTGCAATGCGCAAGCGCGACTTTGAGCGGCTGCCGCTGAGCCGCAATGTGTCAGAATCACTCACTGGATGTTCCCGCAATCTGGGCTCGCATGACATGCGTACGCACATATCTACGACTCTACGAACACATCGAGTCTCGCAGGAGACGTGCACACCAGTTGCACCGAGGCTGCAGCAGGGCAATGAAGCCCGGGATGTCTATGCAAAAGTCCTCCCTCGCAGATGCAATCTTCAGCAGCTCGGTGTCCAAGTCTTGTTCACCGATACCGCTGTTCACCAAGATGAAGCTTCTCAGCTGATCGTGGTCCTGAGGCTAGCGATTCCGGCGCCGTACCCAATGTGCGGGCTGCGAAGTTGAGTTCGAAGCAGGTTGTAGCGCTGTCCGACCATCAGACAGACTCTGGAAAGCTGCAGTGAAGGCTGCCTAAATCAGCACGTAGACAATTCAAAGCTTGAAACTAATCTGCTGACATACGGCCTCTTCAGCACCCTCCAAGTCAAGCAGCATGGCCTTGAGGATCACATCCGGCTTTCGTAGGCTGTTGTAACAGCATGCATTGTGCCTCGAAGTTGATGGTGCCGGATGCGCCTGCGCACTGCCCAAACGCAAGCGAGCAGAACCTAAAGACCCAAAAACCTCACCTGCACCAGTCCTGAAGCCCTCAAAAAGCCTGCATCGCAGGTTGCACAAGACAATGGCTCGGGATGAGCCTTCGGCTCTCGCCTTCGGCTTGGCGCTTGCTGGGCGGGGAGCAGCCGGAGGGCTCGCTGCGCTTGCGCTCGGTTTCGACGAGGCCGGCTTCGGCTTTGCGATCGCCGTCTCAGGCGCAGGTCGAGCAGCAGGAGCCTGAGGAGCCTCAGGAGCCTGCAAAGGCCAAGGCCACCAGTTCTCTCTGAGAGAGCCGATTCGAGCGAAATGCGGCCGGGCGCCTTGTCGGCCGAGGGCGGTTCCTCGGAGGCCTGAGAGCGAGGGCACGCTCTCAGTTCAACGGTGCTCGATGGCATTCAGTGTACAAGTACCACTTACAGCTACCATTATCTTAGAGTCGAATTCACAGATTGAGCGCGATGATTGACCCAGCAAAGAAGAGCGCCTGAATGGAAATGGGATGCCAACTACTCACCTGATTGCTGTTCCTTGATATTCATGTTGCAGCTAGTGCTTGCATCGAATATGAAACCCTTCATTTACAGACAACATCAGTCGTACCAGCACTTGCTTCAAACGGAGGGGTTGTCAGAGTGAAGGTGCAGGCTCTGCGGCCGAAGGCTTGCAGAAACAACAGCAACTCCGGAATAAATTCAGCTGCAAGTAATCTAAATGAGGTCCGTGTGAATCTCAGGGAAAAGCTCCTTAAGTTTTTGTGGTGCTTTGTTTGTGTGTGTGTGTGTGTGTCTGTGTCTGCGTGTGCGTGAATCAGGGGACCGGATGGAAGGTACGCAGATTATGCAAATACAGTACCACCGACTGTAAGCAAGCGAGCACACGACGACAGTGAACATGCCCCCGGCGTTCTTGTCTTTGCTAGCTGGAGGTCTTAAGGCATTCTGGTGTCGTTGTGTGTCCGTTTGGGAACTTTGTGCCGGTAGGTGGCTGGTACGAAAGCAGGCACGCAGCCATGATGAAGCACATTAGTAGACAATCGACATCTTACTGCGTCCCTTTTCGTGTTCATCGTGTTCTTGTGCTCGTCTTATGGTCCTTGCCTGGTACGGCTCCGGGTCCGGTGGTGGCGGCGGTGGTACGAAGAAGCCTTCCTCCTCCTGCAGTGCGGTCAGGTCGTCAGCCTACGTGCTGTCTGCGATCAGGCCTCAGCACTCATCCATGGATTCACATTGTAGGCCTGAAAGAGTGCAGCATGGAGCATCCACTCGGCTGGAGTCGGAGAACCTTCGGCGAACCCTATGCTTCTTTTGTCTCTCTGCAATGGCTCGAGGGGCTTCGGCAGCGGAGCTACTCGGACTCGGCCAATTGCATGCTCGTGCATGCGCACTCGTGCGAATTGTTGTTAGCTCTGCTTCATGACTGTTCAAGGTGAGCCGAGCTTGCAAACTGTCACATGACATGCTCAGGATTTGAAAAGATGGATACAATACCTGAGCGATGTCAATGCTTTGGTCAGAACACATCCAGATCTCCAACCCAAGCTGTAGATGTTGATCAGTCTGTTCCAACGGGTACAGCTGGGGTAATATCTGTCATGATGTATGCAGGAAGCATGTCAAAGTCGCCTGCCTTTTGAGCAGATTTTGAGAGCTTTGGGAACCTGGCATACAGCTTGTCACGCACAAACTTGGCTTTGAGCTCCACGAGCTGGGCATCGTTCATAGACTCCGCTTCTTCTGCTGCAACCTTGCAGACAAGGGCCATCTCCAATGGCTTGAGAATCCTGTTTGCGTGCACTCCTTCCTGCAAAGTGTCGGCGAGGACACAATCGCATGCCTCAAGCAGCATGATGCCGAAAGGGCTCATGGTGCCCGTTGCCATGCCGTAAATGGGCTGCTGCAGCTCCAACATGAGGCGAACCACTCGGATCCAGCGTTCGGCGATCACCTCCGGAACCTGTACGGATTGTACAGCCTGTGGATTGGATGACCCTGCAACGCACAAGAAGATCATTGGCACATGGAAGCCCGACTTCTGTATCTGCATGAGCTTCTCCTCAATACCTTGCAGAGTCTCCTCGCCAGCTCGCAAGTCAACCATAATGGTTGCCGGCACTCGGGTAGAATTCTCCATGACTGTCTGCCTAACTACGACCGTGTTTTTTGGGCCGCAATGCTACATCCTGCTTCGATGACATGTTCAGGCGCTCGAAGCCCCACTTGCCAAGCTGATGCTAGTGCCAACAAACACCCGTGTGCTCTATCATGCTGTCTCTGACCATGTCATGCGACATCAGAGGTTCTGCAGTCTGCCCGAGCCTGGTGCGACTTGGTGGAAGTTGGAGGTGGCGGCGTCAGAACGGTTTTCGGAAACTCCTTGGTGACCAAATTCGCCACGGGGTCCACCTCAGTCTTACTCCTGAACTGCACTCATCTGCCGTTTGCTTTGTTCTAGTCAGAGCTGGTCGAGGTCGCGACTGTCCTCGGAGCCTGGGCAGGCTCTCGATCTGGCTCCGAGCCCACCTTGAGCAAGTCGGAAAACATCAAATCCCAAACGAATCCCTGCGGCGCTGCTTGGACATCACTTGTGACTGAGGCCCAGCAAAGCAGTTACACTCATCGCCTCGGCGGAAGGGGCGCAACAACACTCTTGCCGCAGGCATAGCCAGGTTCAGCAGCACAGGCTGGCGTACAAGGCAAAAAACACCCTCTCATGAGCCCCAGGCCGAATCTTGTGATCTCTTGTCCCATAGTTGTGTGACGTGCGACGTGAGATGATTCTTTATCTATTTTCTTTCTCGCTCTCTGCCAAGCTGCTGCTTTACTCCGTGAGTTCGCGTGCATCTGCAAGCGTACAACTTTTGGAATATTTTGCTGCAGATCACACCAAACTCGAGCACTGAATGTCACAATCTCAAGTCTGATCGGAATCGAAAGCTAGCGCACTGTCCTCGTCTGCAAAGTCGCTCGCCAAAGATTCCGATGATTTTCGAGTGCTCAGCTCGTGTCTGGCAGCGGGGCTTTACCAACGGAATGAAGACATTGCGAAGGTTGGAAAAGGCACACCCTTTCGGCGGCATAAGTCACTAAGCGACATGCTCTGCAATTCAGGAGCATGAATTCCGCTGCTGACTAAGGCAGAAGCAAAGCCAGCATGGGCTGCACCACTCACATCATGACACAGTGAGTCTCCAATGTGACAAATTCGCCGGGCCCCAGAGAGCTCCAGCTGCCTCGAGGCTTCTCGGAAGATCTCTGGGTGGGGCTTTCCAAAAATGTACAAATGCTCACCGCCTAAAGCGGCATATTTTTTAGCAAACTGTCCAGGACAGTTCACTGTAACACCGTTATTTCGGTGCACAACGCAGTCAGGGTTTGCAATTATTAAGGGTCGCTGGGCTTTCGCTGCCGCTTGCAGTACCGTCCCAAAAACGCTCCAGTCGCTCGCGTCGGATTCGTAGCCTGATTCAACTTCCGACAGTGTTCCCTTGTAGCACACCTGCACGCCGTTTGCCAAAACAAAATCGCATTCGTCGACACTTGCGACAAGTTCAAGGCCCATCGAACGCAGCTCTTCCGGTGACCACGTGCCACGTTCCACGTGATCTGCGTGCGAAATGAAAAGACAGCTCAACCTCACTGGCGCAGCCTCGCTGATCAGCTTCTCCAGGTAGCGCTTCGCTTGGTCACCGCTTGTCACCAGGCTCTGAAAGTATTCGTTCATCAAGCCAATGCGCTCCAAGCGCAAGGCGGCCCTGGCAGATTCGCAGGGCGAGTTCGACACGATCGCCATGGGAATGCTTCGTCGTTGAAGCTGGTCCAAGCATTCCTTGACATCCGGGAGCAGCTCCCTTCCGTCATGGAGAACCTCAGCACCACAAACAAACACAAGACGCAGGGCCCCTTCAACTAGCAGCAGCGCAAGACTGTGCGTGGGCGTCGGCCACATAAAGCCGAAGTACTCCGTACTGGTCCAGCCTCAGGTGCCAGGGATGCCGGCACTGAAAGCAAGAAAGAACAAAAACAAGCGGATCCAGGTGTATCCGCGCAGCAGAAACCCGTCGTAGCCACACTCGACGAGATCAGACATGCCATTGATGTCACGGGTAGCTCTGCACGATGTCCGCCGGTTGTTCACCAATTTGACCAGAGACAGGACAACAACAAATGGTGAACCATGGTACAGTCCGTGTCCAGCTTTGGCTTCTCTCAGAAATGGTCGTGGTGCACGGAATCTCCCTGGCAGTCTGCAACGTGCAGGAACGGCGGCTGTCACTGACGCAGATGGCTTCACATCCATGGGCAGCCTTGCATTAAGGTTCATACTCATCATGGGCTGATTATCGCAAACCAAACAGTCTCGAACACTGCCCATTATCGGCTTCACATGTCGTTGTACTCGGAAACTGTACTTGCATGATTATGCCAGAAGATGCCACAAGTATGCTAACCGGCAGGTCTACACTCATCGCGAAACAGTGCCCGAGCACCTCGAAGGAAGCCGCACAAAGACTTGCATACTTCTGAAATTCAATCCCAGATCGTGCAAGCCAGCTCCAGCCGTGGACTTTTCCTTTACTCCACCGGCACAGTGGCGAAACCCAGCTCACAATTTTTTCGGGTACAAAATGCAGCGACTCGATCAGCTCCAGACCTCAGAGCCAGAGGGCGAATGCAAATGGCTTTCCGCCACGTCGTCCGACACAACAAAGAGCTCGACTGACGGAGGAGACATGGCTGGCTCTTGCTCCGCCTCCAACAGAGTTGCACGTTGCTGCAGTCGCTGAAAAGGGGCTGCGCACCTCCCTGAAGTCTGGCTCGTACTCTGGCTCGTCGTACTCGTACCATTCTGCCATGTCGTCGTCGAAATCCTATGGGTGGCCCCGCTTCAGGCCAAAGAAGGCTTGCAAAGCCGCCGGTACAACCTAAAAAATAGCTTTGCATTAACTTTGTCCGCGCAATCTCTAATCATGCCAGCTCGCAGGCATCAAGGGAGCAGAGGGCAGCCAGCAGGCTGACGGCCAATTCGAGGAAGCCTCTATAAACTCTAGTACAATTCCCAAATGCTGACAGACAGGACCATCAAAAGATCATGAGAAAATGGGAAAAAGCCAGGGTTAAACTGCTTCCCACAAGTAGGCGGCATTCGGGAGCAGGGCCAAACTCCTTTCACCTGTACTGGCGGATTCAGGAGGACAGGCAAAATTCCTTCCCACGCACACTGGCGGGATGCAGAGCTTTCGAGAACAACAAGTGACCAAGAACTTACGGTGATCCTGGCTCTGGGGGATGCTTCCCAGCAGATCTTGTGCAAACACATGGAAGTGACCGCGAACTGAGCACCGCGACCCCCCGCATAGGGAACGTTTATTCGCGCGCACGAGCGCGACCCCCCCTCGTGCACGACAGCCGGCCCCCCGACTCCTAACGTCAGAAACCCATAGTGTGTACGTTAAGGTACCCCATCCTTCTGGGGAAGAAGTGGCTTCTTTCATGGGTCCATGCAATTACTCGCATGGGTGGTCTTTCCCGTCACTAAAATACCGAGTGGTGCAGGCTTCCCGGTTTGTGCTTTAGAGGCATTTCAACATGCGATACCATCGTCATCGTTACAACTGATGCACTACCTGCACTCGTCCTACTTTCATTGTCTTCGATAATCAGCTCGACATTGCACGGTGCCTTCAGAGCCTCGCCAAGCTCAGCGGCAGCCTGCCTCTGCCGCCTCGTCAGCAGCCTGGATACAAGCTGCATCGAAAAGTGGAGCCGCAGTGTGACATGTCGCAGCCTCTCCGCTGGCTCCCCAGTCTTGACATTCAGCTTCATCGGAACCTTTACAACGAAACAGCGAGATCGTCAGTTTTGCAACGATAGTCGCTGTGCTTTGGGAAGCAGCGAGCAACCGTGCATGCCTCGAGCAGCTTGAAACCAGACAAGTTGGACCATTGCCTTAGAGTGTGGTCTGCGAACTTCTGCTGCCTTGAAGTGAGACTCAAGGAGATCTCGGCGTTCGGACATCATCTTGTTGGCGACAGAGTCCTCGACGATGGACACCACCGTGCCCTCCAAGGGCTCCGCTGATCCGGGCCTCCATGCAGATGCAGATGGAGGGCGGATCCCGCCATGCTTCTCATGCTTAACTCTTGCAGTCAAACGCTGAATGCCACTGCTGGCCATCTGGCTTGGGCCAGTTGATCACTGCACTACGTGAACTGAGGAGAGGAAGAAGCGGTGAGGTGGCGGGAGCAAGATGGGACAAAAAGCGGAGCCAGGGTGGGGAAGCTCCAGTTGAGGAGCACTCAAGGAAACAGCGCGTGCTTGGCCGAGAAAGGAAGCAAGGGCCATTGAACATCGCTGAAGTTGGCGAGGTGGAGCCATGACATAGTGCGAAGCCATAGCAAGCGACGTGTTTGGGCTGTATGCCGAGTTGGCGATGAAGCTTCTCATGCTTCGCTTACAGTTGGCATGTGGGGCTGCTTCTCGCAAGCACGCTGGTCGAGCTGGCAGGAAGATCTCTAAGCCTCATGCTGATCTCGAGGCTGTCTGATGAGTCTGGCCAAACCAGGAGTAGGAACCCCGCCCGTGCTACTGCAAAGCAGCCATGACCTTCATGCTTTGGCCACAAGGAGCTTGGGCCCTGGCTGGTAGCGACAGGTGCGGCCGGCAGCATGCATGTAGTCGCTGATGTCTGAGGCACTCGAAAGTGAAGATGCAAGACTCAACTCTTCAGATACTTGGCGCCGTGCTGTTTGGGTCGCCAATCAACACGACAGCGTCGATGAAGTCCAAATGCATGCCCCGAATCTCCTGTGCAGCAAGGAAGCAAAGAGGCAGATTGTGCCAAAAATCTTCCCTGTCCTGGGCTGCGGCCACGACAACCTGGCAATGCCTTTCGTCGCGCACCCTCTGTCGACTTCCTGTCTCTGGCAAGCGCTAAACGAAAGCCGTACCAACCGCCAAGCATTGCAGTGTCCTTCGCTGGACCACAGCTTCGCTGCTGCCTCAATGGCTTCGGAGAGGCTGATGACCTGAAAAAACCTGCGCGTGGGGCGGAGTCATTGGGGTTCCAGGAGAACTGGTCAGTAAAAAGGAACTTCGCGCCTGCAATGCATACACAGTCAACATGACACTGAAAAAAAAAAGTACAACGGCATTAACAGTTTGGATAGCTCAAATATGCATCTTGTCTGTGTAGTAGAGCGAATCAGGAATGGCTTGCCGTGCGCCTGCCCCGTGGCCTCCCGTCGTCCTGTCTGCCTTGCTCGCTCATGTCGTCAAGGTCCTCCAGCCGAAAGCGCAGCTGGCCTCGCGCTGGCGTGCGCTCGTTGGCTGAACCGAAAGACAAACCGCCAAGACTCTGACTCAAGACCAAGCTGCGGCCGTACACGCCTGGGTCATCTCAGTTCTGAATCAAGGAACGGTCGCGACGAAAACCTTGTGCCCATGTGCTAGCGAGCTGCTTGACGGAGCTCGGCCTCCTCGCCCGGTCGTAGCAAGGACCTCAAGTCGTCTCAAGTCGTGTGTACTGTCAGCATCTGTCAGCTCGGCTGTGTTGCAGCACTTGCTGCATGGACAAGCCCCAGACCACCAGAACCCGTTTTGCCTCCAGCTCGTAGATGGTCTTGGCAGCTACTGACATCACCTGACACTCCAACACATTCGCAAGTAGCTGTGCCATCGAATCTCCGCAAAGGCTGCGCAAGTGTAAACAAACGCGACCACCCGCCCCCCGTCGTAATAAACACAATATCAGAATCAGTTTTATAAGTAATTATCAATATCAGCACCAGCATCATCATCATCGTCGTCATCATCATCGTCTTGCGCTTACCAGAAGAACGGTGGGTCTCCCTTCCTCAATGAGGGCAATTTCGTAATTGGGTCTTGTGAAACGTGAGGGAAAGCAAGGTAAAATGTCCGGACCACGGCCTGTCTCGTGGTGGGTCGTCGTGGCTTCTTCGATACAAAGAGCGACCAGACAAAAATCAAGGAACAACAGCAAGTCCTCCACACTGTGGCTACTGTAGTTGCTTTCCAGTCTCGAGATCCGATGCGAATGCTGTGCAGCTACTCGATGTTCGCATCAATGGGCTCCAGATTTACAGAAAGATAGTGGTCCAGCACCTTGGGAAAGCGAAACGGAATGGGAACTCGTACTCGATGACCTGAGCTTTCACAAAGCTTTTCTGCAAGCATGGAGGCCAGTTTGGTGACTCGATGAGAACCTGACGTAGCTTCTCTGGCCAGCCGGTTGTGCCATCCCCATACCTTCACGGCACTCTCCGCATTCTCTACGTTGCTGAGACACGGCGCATCTGTGACCAAGACTGTCCACCAGTTTCCTGCTCGTCAACCTGCACTTTCAGTACACGCTGTGCATTGTGAAAGCATTGTATCTGCTCAGCCCTCCTCTGGGATTGTGCTTCCAGCAGCGCGGATCAGTGCCAGGTCGATGCCAGCACCTCAGCTGGCCATGCCCTGACATCCCATGATTTGATGCAATGTGATGAGATGCGACTCAGCAGGTCGAGCTCGCAACTGTACTTGACGTTGCGGAACGTTCTGCGGTTGAGGGTGGCCTCAGACTGATTGCAGCCGCATGTGCTGACAACCAGCTCAAGGATGTGGTGAAACGAATGTGCTGGAGCGACACACATGTGCCATGCACAGGATTTTGGGCCCTGCTCGGAAAATTCGGATAAATCAGGTCGCATGAACATATGGATGGTGCATTTTGCCACTGGGGAAGAACAGGGCTCCATACGATTCAGCAACTTGAGCGAGGATGTTAACCAGCACGACATGAAATCCGCTCTGGCTTCGTCATACCCCTGCCTTGCGTTGCAAGCCTTGCACACGTCCAGTGTGACATGCTTAGCTCTGGTGACCTTGGCCTGGTGGCCGGGTGTTTGGTATCGGGATGTATCGGGGCGTCGCTGCAAACACCAATGCATGGTAGCTGCATGCAAGTTTTGAGGGTGCCGCAGTTGCACCCACGAGCTGCCACTCGTCGCGACGACCGGCCTTCAAGCGTTTGGACCAGCAGCTGCTCGGGTTCTCAGGAGTCGGGCCTTGGTGGTCTGCAACTCGATCTCTTTCAACAGAGCCACTGCGGGGAGGACCTCGGCTCAAGCTGAAGGCTGCGAAGGGATCTGCCTTTAGGCTCTGAAGCAAGGCTCAAAAAGCTCGTGGCTCGGCCCTCTCGGCTTGCTCTCTGGCGTTGTACCCTTGGCCGGATTGCTATGGCTGCCATTGATCGGCTTGCTGTCCGCGTTTGGGAGACATCCCCAGCTCCGGACCGATGCCACTTGTCCACAAGCTGATCGGCCTCGTCTACGACCTGGTCCAAGGCGATAGGGCCGATAGGTGTGGGTAGCAGCAGCAGCTCCGGAGCTGGGCCAGTGGCGACCCAGTCGAGCTGGCCTAAGGCTCGCAGCCACAAAGGCTGCGTCCTGCTGAAATGTCTCAGAGAAGCCACCGCTTGGGGCCGTGGGGGCCGTGACTCCGAGACAGCGACATGGGCTCATCCAACAAGTCTCGAATGTGACGTGGCGTGGCCACGACCTGATGTCCGACAGCTGAAATTCTATTCCTGCCCCTTTGCAGGTGGAACTTCTTGCATCCAGGGCTCGATGTTGCTGGGCTCTGATGTGTTGTCTGCATCACGTCGCATGAGAGTCACCTTCAGTGCAGTGCTCATATTGCTCCCCCCATGTTTCAGTGACGTCTTAAGCACTCCCAAGAGATTCTCAAAGCAGACAGAATCTTGCCCTTTGAAGGATTGGATTTCGTGTCCCCTGCATTCGTGCGTCTGTTTCAGCACGTTGAGAAAGGTTCTGTCCATAGCATCAAGCGTGGACATGCGTGGAAACATGACTCAGCAATACTTGCTGTTGGACATCAACGATTGCTCTTGGACTTACTGAGGAGTTGGACATCAACAGCATGAGTCCTGGTCGGCGTCCAAAACCCGTAGCGACCCCTTACAAGCGGCGGGGTTAAGTCCCATCAGGGTGCGTCTAGTCACAACATCTTGTCAAGCCCCGATCCGCATTTGCTCACATCAGAAATAGCAAAACCCCAGTTGTGGGTTCCAAGACATGTAACGACATGAATGGTTGGCCACGTGCCGCAGGTATTCGTGCCTACTTTGCAGTCACATCACCTCGCTTCATCACATCAGCAGTAGCGAAACCCCAGGTGCACATGGCCCGGATGTGGGTTTCAACACATACAACGAAATGAGGGCATCTGGAGCTGCTCCTGTCGAGCTGCTGTCTTGTCACGATACAACTAACACATATATCGTCTCAGCTTATGTATTTTGCAGTGACTTCCGGGCTGTGGGCTAGTACTTAGGCCTGTGCGACGCCCGCGCGAGCACCGCGTGACCTCCAGTTATTTCACATGTATTCTACTTGGCGCTGGCCCTAAGTCGCCTCACGGCGTCGAAAGTCGCATTCGAAACACAAGTGGTATCACGGCAAAAACCAGCCATTCCCATGTCGCAAGATTTCGCAAGCACCAACTCGAAACACAAGTGGCTTTACAACAGCCATTCCCTATGCAAACGCTCACATACGTGGCATCATTGCGTTTTGGCGGAATTACCTCTTGCACACTGGGTCGATGCGACTAAACACAACCCGACTTAACCCTTGGACCACGTAGCGCCTTGAGAACCCTTCCTGAGCGTTTGGCATTTTCCGCTTTGCCAGGTCCAAGTAGCGCACGGGCAAGAGCCTAAGCACAAGACTTGAGAGATTCGGAAGCAGCGCCCGAGCTTCCTGCGCGAAACTGGGGTTTGTGCGACTGTCTGCACCTGAAGGACCTCAGCTTGGTTGACTGAAAGTTGCATATTGCGGAAGGAGAAGAAATTGGGTCATGGATGAGGCTTAACGCTATCATGCACAGCTCATCTTTCCATGGATCATGTGTCGCCAGGAAGCTGAATTTACTTGCCTAGACACCGCCGTCGGAACCAAAATGAGGAAGCGAAGGCCACGAGCTGGTGCTCGCTTTGCCTGAAGGCAAAAATGCCGTGGCACACTCCTTCTCTCGTGCCCGCCGCGTCATGGCCTCTTCCGTGAATCGCTGCAACAGGGGAAGCAGGTAGCAGAGTGTCTTGCCCGTTCCAGTGGGAGCGTGGATGCAGCAAGACCTTGGGTGCTTTGATTTGCCTTTGGGTGCTTATGCAGATCTGCCTCAAATCACGAATAGAGCAGAACAGCTGCGTCCAACTGTCTTACTTCGATCTGTCACATGCTCCTCCAATCCTCGGTGGGGCTTCCTCCCCCCTCCTTGCCCCTGCCCCCGCAAATACCAGGGCCTGGAAAACTAAACTCCGAAGCTCAAGACCCAAGCCGTTCCACACAAAGAAGGGGGATGATCACAGGCAGAACCGTTGGAAGGAGGCTTAAAACAAACCACCCAACCATTCCACACGCAAGCTCAAGGCCCAACAAACAGGGTTCAAGTCGAGCGATTAAAGTTTGAAAAGGTTAAAACTTTAAAGCCGGGCTAACTATTTCCATGCGGACGAAGTTTGCTTTATTTGTTTGGGAATTTCAGCTTGAAGGCTCCCCAAAATCCAAGTCCAGGAAGCTCTTAGGGAACTCGGTTCGGCCAAGATAAACCAAACCTATCGAATCAAGCATGCACGCACGTATGCATACGAGCATGCGAGTACGGCTCACTTGACAAATGCTGGCAGCCGTTCCACAAAAGGGATACCAGTGTGGGGAGGGGGGGCCGCTGGTGTGCAACCATGTCGACAGTGCTGCTCAAGACAGGCTTCCACACGGCAACGAGAATACAGACTTCCAACATCGTCCAACCAACTTTTAGCGCTGTGGGCCATGCCGGTGAAATGCGTGGACAAACATGCTCTGCTTGGCGGGGCAGTCGCTCATTGCAACCTGTTTGGAACACTCGCCTGCCTTTGCCCGATGCCTGCCTTGTCAACATATTCGCAGCCCGTTGTGCTGTCGCATCCGGAATCCCGACCACGTCGGCTGTTTGGATCTGTTCCTCCTTGCTCAAGCTGTCATTTTCCAGCCTTCTCGCTTAAGGACTTTCGGAAACGAAGCCAACTGTGGAAGGACAAATTCAGGGAAAGAGCTCAACAATACGGAACACAGATCACTGCCACAGAACGACTTGGTTTCCAGCTCGCCATCATAGATGCGCGACATAGCCTCTTCCTGAATGGGTGATGGCTCAAACCTTGGGTCCAATCTGTCAATCTGCTGCACTGATCTTCACTTTACCGTGAACTTGGTCCCGCACGTCCCACCTCCCAGCTCCATCTGTGACTTTAGCCACCTGACGCGTGACGAGCAGTCTCTCTCGCTCTCTCCCTCTCTTCTTCAAAGACAAGGCAGATCCCCTCCCACGTGCGAGCGCGCCCTGGTTTCCTTTGTCCAAGTGTGAGAACTTTGTAGGAGGAGGACGGCCGTCTCCCAACACTTGAACGCAGCTGAAGTAACACTATAGTCACAAGTCAACCCATCCCCCGGCCTCATCCAAATTGTAGGCGGAAACCGATTCCGTCACCCAAACTTGCAGTTTGTCATAAGTTTGCAGCTTTCTCCGGTTTTGGGCGACTTCACTCCAGCAAACTGACAAAAAACTGGGACATGATTGTAGTCCCCCTTTACATCGCCTGAGAAGTCGCTGCAAGCTTGTCACCACATGGTTTGAAATGCATCACGCTACAAGGTGAGCGCCTTAAGTCACCCCACCCCCGCAAAAGCCAGCCCACCCCAGTGTGAGCGCAAGGCACCCCAGGCCTGCAAAAGGCACGCCAGGCAAAGAGAATCCCCAGTGTGACGCGTCTGCGACATCATGTTTTGAAACATGTGCCAAGACAGGAAAATGCACGCGTCGCGCAGGAAATCGCTGCAAGAGTGTCTTTGTCGAGGCATGAACCATGTCTGAATTACCAAGTAGACGCCCTTCACAGCAACCAACATTTTTCACCGCAAAACCCTCCATACAGCAGCAGACCTAGTCACATCACGTTTTGTTGGAACACAGCTGTCGAAGGGACGCGCGCGATGCGAGGGGGTCACATCATGGTCACATCAACATGGCTTTCCCCATGTAGACGCCGCGAAAGCTACTACAAGCGAGCACAATCTAGCCGGGAGCCGAAACCTGGCATTTCCAGTACTAGAGTTGTATTACAAGCAAGCACAATCCAGCCAGGAGCCGAAACGAGGCATTTCCAGTACTAAAGCTGTACTACAAGCACGCACAATCCAGCCAGGAGCCGAAGCCATGCATTTCCAGTACTAAAGTTGTATTACAAGCAAGCACAATCCAGCCAGCCGATCGTAACCTGTTCCGCAACTAGACGCCTCGATTGTAATTAAGGCGATAAGATCCAACACATGTGAAATGATTGTACTTACCAAGGTGACGCCCCTCGCGGGACGCCATTTGCGTATGCGGGACGCCTTAAGTCATGCACCCTGTAGCAGAGCTTGCTGCTCTCATTGCTGCAGTGTCCCCCCTGTCCCCCCAACAGTACACAACATGCAACACGAGGCAGCTACACTTCACTCACGGGGTCCAAACGTTTTCCTATCGCGTTCTTACTTGGTTACTGTGCAAGGCCTTCCCACGCTGGTCACTTCCCCCGTGGCGATCATGTGTTAATAGCAGCCCTCCCCCATCTCGTGAGGCTTGTGATAAAACGGTCCATCCAAGCCCGCTCTGCACGTTACTCCAAGGCCTCGGAGTTTTTCGGCCATTCGACATCGTTCCCCTGCTCTTTGGGGCTTTAGCCATGAGGTCGCGTGGCAGTTTCCCCCCTTGTGGCTTCTCTTCCCCCTTCTGGCCATCGTCGAAGTCAAGGTGCAGGTAGTACAAGATGATCCCCCTCCGGAGGTCCGCTGTGAGGTTGTATGCCTCTTCCCCCTACTGGCGGGCTACCCTCTCGGACGGGGCCGCGGTAAGGGAAACGGCGCTCGGCGTCAAGCCCCCCCCCACTCGAAGGGATGTCCACCCAACAACCCTGCTGCGAACAGACAGCAGGCTCGGAGGGCCGCCCTCGAGCGCCCCCCGACGGAAGCGGCAGGTCGACTTGAGCCAAAATTGCTATACTCTCTCTCTCGCTCTCTCTCTGAGACAAGAGAACGGCTCAGGATGGAAACTGAAACCATGCCGGGGTTGCTCGGCTGCGGCTCCCGTTACCCTCACGCCGCCAAACTCCATGGCCATGGCGGTTTCGGACTTCCAGCGCTCAGACGCCCTTCCGCGGAAAGCTCCTGACCGACTCGACTCGCCCACTCGCCCAACTTGAGGCGTAGGTCCGTCCACCGGCCTTCTCGCCCGTCTCGCCGCGGCCTGGGAGGATCTGGTGAGAAGTGACAGACAGAACGGTTTCTGCGGTTGCGCCTCCGAGGCCGGGAAATGACCTCGCTTGTCTCTCGGTCTCCGCGGCGCCGCCGCACTGCGGCCTCACAAAGAGCCCGATGCGGGCAGAGTCCGCCGCTCTCGCCAGCGCCGGGCCGTGCCGATGGCTGTGAGGCTGCATACCAAGCACCGCGACAGCTTAAAGTAGCCGGAGGCCTGTTACAGACCAGCTTGTCGTGTGGCGTCATTCTAAAACTGATAACCAGTCGGGAAAGCCAGCTGGCTACCGTCAGAAGCTTTTGCAGCCTTAGTGCCGAAAAGTTGAAGCCTGCTATGCTCACCAGGTCCAACCAAGGTTGCAACGCTGTCCACCAGGAGGGGTCGTCTTCTGTCTACTCGGCTACGGGAGCCTCCATGGCATATGTATGCACTGCCAGGATGGCTTGACAGCTCGTGCAAAGCACAGCCAGAAGGGCGCCCCATGCGCGCCTTGCGACAAAGATGAGGTAACAAGCCCATCGTGAAGTGCTACCTCCAGGTGCCTTGAGAGTTCGCTCTGAGTCCGCTCACACTGCTTACTTACACCACACCTACAATACTCCATCCACTCAAGCTTGGACACCAGCGCCATGACACCATCACTTGGTGGGCTTGATTGAACCTATTCCACCCAACTTGTGCTACTTTGCTGGATGCTGTGCATGTGGCGGTTGCACAACAACTGCAGAACATCATTTTCTTACTGTGTGATGTTCATGCTGCATGACACGTACCCGGCTATTGTCAACGCAGTGTCGTCTGGACAAGGGTCTTGCTCGGTGACCTCAGCCTGATGACTTGCAACACTGGCATCGGACATGTTCGGATACGTGCTCTGGCAGAAGAATCTGTTTTCAGGAGCGTTGCAGGCTCCGAGGGTCCCAGGATTTGTATGGTTGGGAAGGCAAGGGGGTGGGGATGAATCTGGCTAGGGTCAAAAGCAATCGGTTCGACTCAGTCTGTGTCTGCTTTTTCGTGTCGTGAGGAACGGTGCCGGAGAGGGCTTGTTGCCTCAGCGAAGCGGACTCGGCCTGAACAAGTCTACCTTTCTCATCTCAATTCTGTCGCCATACGCCCGGTCGTGATAGCAGTTCATGAACCTTCCGTCTCTGGGCCCAGACGGTGACAGAGGAAGAACCTCTCCTTCGAGCTCAAGCCGAGCATCGACTCCCACCCGGCCTGCCACATAAGCAAACACGATATCTCGGCAGGAGTTCAAGGTGCGCGCTCCGCGAGGCAGGGTGCGGCAGGTCCTGGTTCCTTGGAGCGGCGATCCCAGTCGTTGGACACAAGCAAATGCTGACAGCTTGTTCGGCATTGCTCGGCCAGCGCAATGGGCGGCGGCTCTCATTGCCATTGCAGAATACTTCAGCGCATGCAAGGATGGCAGATAGACGGAGAACCGCCGAAAGAGCAGATGCCGTCACATCTTCCACCTCAACGGCCTCATCGATGATCATGGTCACGTGCATAATAATGTTCTCCCCAGGAGTCGGCTTTCCCCTCGAAAGTTGGCATGAAGCCAGCCGCCTTGGCTCCAGCATCCGCATAATTCCCGAAGAGCAGTAGCAGCTCGACTGGCCGGCTTGCAAAGATGTCCACTTTCGCCCTGTGGACAGTGCGTATTGCGTTGGCTGCCTGCCACAGCAGCAAGCAGCCCTCTGGGCAAGCCAAGGATCTGGCAGGAGTCGGCGTTTGCTCCCGAGTGAATGCATCCAGTTGAAGGGCAGGCGCAGGTCCCACACGATTGCCTTTGCAAAAACTCATTGAAGAGTTCCTTCCTGAAACTTCAAGCGCACTGTCCGAGATGCTGCCAAACCAGAACATGGCCACTACAATGCCGTCCAAGCAGTGCCACGGAAGTCCGGAACTCTGCTGGCCGTGCCTGTAGCCTGTGATGTCCAAAAGTGGCAGTTTGCCCAGCAAATTGGGCAATCTGGCTTGAAGTTCATGAACCAAGCGAAAGCCAACTGGACCGTGGAGCCCATCACGGAGCTGAGACTTTTGAATTTCGCCATTTTGCAGAGACTGGTACCACACGGTTGACTCAAGCAGCCATCTGCGAACCTGAAACTCTACCGACAACCTTGTCGACTGCATGAAGTTACACTCAATTAAGTTTTTGACTGAGTAGCGGACCAACTTTTGAGCTGAAGCAGTCAGAGCACCCCGGATAATTGCCACGCCTACCAGTCAGTCACAGGTTCGTGATTTCACACACAGCTCAAGGCCAAATCATCCTCTCTTTACCTCAGTGTGGCCTCTTGTGCGCACGGCCAGCGACGCACCTCTGCAAATTGTGCTCTCATGCACTCGGTATCAAGCTTCGGCGAAACTTCAACTTCTGCACACATGTCAAACACGTTTTGAACTCTGAACTGCACAGAACTCACATTTCGTGCTTGGCGCGTCCTGTGCTGTTTCGGAGGTTCTTGCCGGATCCAACCCTGTCCCGGCTGCTCCGCCGGACTTCGTTGCTTGCCGACAACGGCCAAGATCACATGAACGTAGCCGTCGTTGCGTCAGAGTCAGGCCGGCCTGCCACCGCTTTCTTCTGCCACGCTTCTCGTCTCGTGGATGTCCCATCTTGCACAAAACCCATCGCAACCCAGTTTCTCACGGGAGCAACCATCCTTGGTTCTCGTCCTGGAGGGATCTGTCCCCCTTAGCCATGTGTTAAGAGTCGCCAGACACCGCCTGGAGTATCCTGGAGTCTGCTCATAAATTCGCTATCGTCTTTGGCACACGACAGCAGTCGTAAGCGTGACAATGTTACGTTTGGATCCACGTCTGCAAGCTGGGTCCCTGCCTTCCCAATCAGCGGCGATCGGCAAAAACTCGGTAACCTCACCGACAAATTGGTCGAGGTCCTGGAAACGGGGAGAGCACAATGTGAACACGCGAACACAGAATCGTTTAGAAGCATCTGGAGCATGCGAAAGATTCGCCAAAAGCGCGGGAGTCCGGCAGATGCAGCGCTCTGTTGAAGAAAGGTCGCACCTTGTACCGTGAAGCTCCAATGATAAAGCGAAAAGGGAACGACATCCGGCCTTTGCAAACCGAGCTCCAACCTCCTCGCGGACAGGTGCTCCTTTCTGGAGCCTGTGGATGCAAGAGGCAGCCGTGGGATGAAGAAAGCGGTTTGGAGTCCAGGGCATCCACTGGGCAAAGAGCTCAAGCAGACTTCGGAAGCCAGAGGCGGCCTCGATAGCAAACAAGGATAGACGAGGTGTCTCTGCAAGATGCCGCATCCGTCACGCCTCATGGAGCTCCTCATGACCTGGCACTTGGGACTCGGGACCCCCTACCTGTTTCGCAAGGGAAGCTTCACCTATGGAGATGATGTGCTCAAGTTGCTCCGTGTCATGGGCCTCAGTTGCAAGCGGCTGGCGTGGTCAAGCTCTGAGAAGCCGTGGATAAAGCCAGCATCCTCTCTGGCTCAGCTGCTGGCCAGCTTTCCAAAAGAGAAGCCCGTGTTGTCAGTGACGATGCTGCCCTCCATACCTCTCCATGTGCAAGGCGGTGCCAAGTCATGCGCACTCTTGGTAGACAGCGGGAACGGGGGCCCCTTAATTCGAAACAGTCGTGACTTGCTCATGGCTGTCCGGACAACAGAAGCCCTTCATCTGCGTCCTCTGCTGTCTTCCGCTGAGGCCTTCGCTTGCAATCAGTCGAGATGAATTCCCAAGCGATCTGCGCTGTTCGAAGACCCACTCCTTAAAGCAACGAATATTTGTGCTTTGCACTGCTTGCCGACATCTCAGTGCATGCAATCACGATCAGGCTTGATCAGGCTTGCGGATCTTTTTGCAGCTTCAGAGCCTTTTGCCTCTGCCTCATTTCGGGTGAGACTCTTCTTGGCTCCAGCATCTTTGGCTGCCAATGACAGGTTCTTCGGGCAATGGCCGCTGCGGCTTCTGCAAGTCTCTAGAGAAACGCTCTGATCTGGACCGATCGCAGCTTTTGGCAAGCCTTTGAACGGGCCTGAGGCATGTGTCAATTTCATGATTCATGACAAAAGGCAATGAGAATTGGCATGCCTACGTGGGCAATTAATTAGAGCTCCCGCAGACACGAAGCAGTTGCATGCATCGCCATGGGTTCTCTTCCGAGCACCTTTCGAGCCCAGTACCCTGAAAGCTCCCGTCCACATGTTAAACGAAAGGCAAATTAAGGTAAAGCATGAAAGCTGTGAAGTATACCCGGAGGCTCTCCACGAGTGCGAGCGGGCTTTGTTTCTAGATGCTGTGCACTCACGTGCCTCGCTAGAAGCTTTGACGGAAACTTCCCGACAGCTCTTCATGCGTTCATGTGTGTGTGTGTGTTGATCACAAGCGTTCTGATCGACCTGGCTTAGACTCAGCAGCCTGCCGAAATTTGTGGACTCGGGATGGCAGCATAAACTGTCACAGGCACCCTTATAAGGATGCGTGCGCTGCATCCCACGGCCTGCTTGTTTGGGAGGAACAGCAGCGGCATGAAGCTCTGCATCGACTTCAGCTTGGCTCGAACATCCTTCAGAGGGCGAGATGGCTCAAGGCCCAAGGGCCGGCAACGTGCGAACAGTCCCACTGGTGTCCCTCGGGCCTTTGCTGTCTGCTCCTTCTTGAGCATTTCCAACTGGTGGGTCGCACTCTTCAGGCGGTCAAGTCTCTCTCTCTCCTGGCCCACAACACTGCACCGCTGTCTGCACCGCTGTCAAGCAATGGCCGTTTTTCGCTGAGCGGCTTCGATTCTTTTCAGGCGGCTCCGGTAGGCTGCAAAGTATCCTCAGAAGGCGGAAGCTCCTTGCGAAGCTCCTTGCGCACTCCGGCCCATTCCGGCCCGGCCTTGATCTCTGCCGAAGGCTTCCAGAGGCCCATCAAGGAGAGGGATGGGTGGCTCATTGTTTTCGGGAGGAGGTAGGTCACCTTCCCTGCGACGCGACGCTTCAAGCTTCTGAGCCGCTGGGATCGTTCGGGTGCCTGGCGGCATACTTCTTTATGCCGACGAAGGAATGGGTGCGTGGGAAGTCGACGGTAGTGACCATCGGCCCCCTGCAGAACTCAGCTCGATATGGAATGCCTCGCCAGGTGAGTTGCATGCCGTCTGCTGAATCCAATCATGTCGACTGGCCTTTGTCTAAGTCGATGTCTTCAGTCATTGGGAAGTCGGGGCCAACCTCGAGTGCATCGCCAGGGTCAAGGTCTTTCTGCCAGCCGACCGCATTGCATCAGAGGAAGCAGCCCTGATTGAAAAATGTGTGCACCCCTCCAGATCATCGCAGATTTGCGCAGCCTGCGGGCATGTCCAACACTCTCAGCGCACCCCCTCGTCCAGGACGGCTCGTGGCTTCTGGCGGTTTCAAAACGTCTCTCCTCTTCGACGGAGTGCACTCCACGCTTGCGCTTGATGAGACGGAGCCGCGCTCCGACGAGCTCGCCCTGGCCCCAGCCTGAGACGAACGGAGAAGCCCGTGGAAGAGTTGAGGACGTCTTTTATGGACGCGTAGGACATAGGACATGAGTCGACAGAACCGAGAGAAGTCCTGTCTTTGCAGCCCAGGAGGCAAATCGCACGAACGCCGGGCCTTAACAGCAATCAACTCTCAAACACACTAGTACAAGGACTAGAATGGACTAGAATAATCTGACCCGGAACCTCGCAAACGGCTGGGAGCCGAGTCTAAGACGACGGCCCCTTGATTTTGTATGCTGGAAGGCGACGTTTCAGCTCTTCAACATCCTTTGGAGTCCTCAGTGCTGACATCGCCCGCCATGCTCGCATCGCCCTCAACTGCCAGTGCAGTGAGGCGGCCAGACTTCTTTGTCTTCTGGCCGGATCCCAAAAGGCCAGCCTGGAGGACCTGTTGGATTTCCCTTCTCGTCAAACTCTTGCATGGCCTCTCTGGCCGCAATCTCCTTGGCCTGCTGGCAGAGCATCAAGAAAGACGAAAGTTGCGTGCGCTTACATTAGCATGACAGCCAAATCAGCCGAAGCCCGGCCTCCTGCTCTGCTGCGTCCTCCGCTTGCTGCGCAGCTGTTTTGTAGGGTTCCGGCCCTGTGCAACCTCACAAGCTCACAAGGGTGTCTGCTCCTAGCATCTCGGATTCTCTACAAGGTCGGATGGGAAATGGCGCTTGCTGGATTTTGTCAAGACGCCATGTCCGGTGATGCACCTCACCTTCTCGATGGTGGGAAAGTTCCACGGAGGAGAGAAGTTGTGCGCGGCCAGAACTGTCCCGGCCATGTCCCGGTCATACTTCCAGGAGTGAAGGGCCATCTCTCTGTCCGAAACGCCCCGGAGGCTCTTATTACCATGGCGAAAACATGTGCCACGACTTCGAAGCAAAGTTCGCAGTAGCTGTTCTTTCATTCTTTTGATGTGCTAAGTTAGACTTAGAGGAAGACAGCAGCAGCTGTTCTGCAAAGTCTTTGATGGTGCTGCAGAGTCGGGTGAAAAGACAAACGCGTGCCTGGTGAGTCGCTGCGAACGCAGCAGTACGCGTCTGTCTTCATTCTGCGCAAGGTGCAAACTTCGTGATGAAGCGCTGAGGGTCTGCCCCGTGCATTGCATGCCGTGCATGCAAGCCGAAAAAGCCAGGTCTTGCCGAGTGCTGAGGGGTTGGCCAGCCACTTGCGGAGCTGCCTCCACTTGGAGCGTCTCAGGAGGAAAGAGCCTGGTGAAGCATGCTAGTGTTGTATTATCACGTGTTGCAGAGCAAACCCAACCAGCTCTTGCTTGGTCATGTTGCTGCACAACATGGCTCCTGAGCTCTTGACTGAACTGAAGATTGCCTTGGTCTTTCGTCCCCGCGGGGTTGAGTCTGTGTTGTAGCAGTGCCGTGACAGTGGAGGCTTCGTTGGCTCTAGATGTGGAGTGGAAATGGCAACCTGCATCAACCTGCGCTACTGAGGACTGCCACTGCTGCCGGCTGGCACTCCCGCAGCGTGGTCTCAGGAAAAGCATCGCCCCTGCGAAGCAATCGATCCAAGCCTTGGGGCTAATTGCAGATGGAGGTGTCAAAACAAGTGAGTTGGTGTGGGCAGCATTCCGTCCACGAAAGCTACAGTATCTTGCGATGTCTTGCGCCTGGTTTAAACATAGGACATAAGGGGCAATGACAAACGATGGATTGAGTCGTGGTGCTGCAGGTCTGGAAGCTTTGCTGCACGGTGCGTTTGTTTGCAGCGAACTCGACCAGGGCCTGGGATGTGTACGTATTGCTGTCCTGCACGATATGCTGACAATCAAACACCGCTCACAGTTGCCATGCGCAGCTTGGGGTCCTCTGCTCCGGTTGGTCCTGACCAGCCTGCAGTTTCAACAGCTTGTAGGACTGCAGAAAAGACAAGTACACCCCCTAAACCTGGAAGTACAAAGGGCCACAAGTCCGTATTAGGCCGCGCGCT